TCCCCCCCATAAGCTACTGACCACATCCCTCAAGACGAACTCCAGTTTAGTTTCTTGCAAACAAACAAGGTCTGCCCTCCATCCCCTTAACAAATTTCTAACACCTAGTCTTTTCCAACCTCATTAAGCCCCTGCACATTCCAACTGATAAGTTTTAGGGTCATTTTAATACTTTGTCATCCCTCCCCAGCAATCATTTCCTTGACTCACCACCCTTAGTATCATAATTTACTGACCATTCGAGCCGCTTAAGTTCGCGAACACCCTTCCTTCTTGCTTTGCCTCCTGGTGTACTCATCTCCTGCCCCCTACTAGCCTTCAGTTCCTCGAATAATTGCATGAGTGTACTTTCGTATCCTTCACAAGACACGCCAACCAACTTACTGAACTCCTGAATTTTTTTAAGGACCCAATTTGAAGGTTGGGGTCCAGCTTCAATCTCATTCACCTTCATTGTCTCCTCTGCAAGACAACACTCCAAAGGGTCATACGAATCTCCTTCCACTTCCTCCCCATGTGCAACATCATTGTCAGTCCCCCCTTCTGGCCGCCTTGTACCCACAACACCAAAGCTTTTTCGGTCCCCAACTCCTTTTCTTTTAAGGACTTCACGTGCGATCTGTTATATGTGTTCCCAACCCGGCGCCTCGTACTCTTTCAAGACTATCGATGCTGATTTTTTCACCAATACATGTGCCATCTCTTACTCAACTAAGAGTAATCCATTCGTCGACAAATTCCTATCTGTCGCGTCCAGTGTAGCCAACTCTAAGTTCACCAAATTCGTCATCCCTCCCTCAGACCAGGGGACAGCCTTTCGATCTGCTACGAACCCGGAAACTTTCTCATCCGTAACCAACTCCACCACTGCAACCCCATCATCAATTCCGAAGTGTACTGTTTCAGTCCGAGTCTGAGACTCGCAATTAGGCTTAGTCTACTCTGCTTGTCTTCAAAGTGAGCTGCATTCGGTGATGACTCCTTAGGAACCAAGCCCTCTATTTGTTTTTCGTTAACTAGGGAAACATCCACGCCAACCCCACACTGTTGACAATAGACTACGTTTGGGGTTGCCTCAGACCCACATCCCACTAGCTTGATTAAAACATCCAACTCTTCTTTCAAAGTCTGGACGCGGGCCCTTATTTCAGCATTGTTCATTATCCCACCCTGTGAACCTTCTGCATGTATCTCCATAGGCTTAGGCACCCCGAGATGATCGTCACCATCCTCACATTATACATCCTATCATTTCGCGCTATCCCCCGTTGGTCAACTTTATGTGATGTCTGTAAGTTGGCCATAACTTCAGCATAAGACATCCCTTGTCGGGTTGTTGCATCCACCGTTTGACGTTTAGCTTTATCTCCAGCAACAAATGAATCAACAACAGCCCTAAACACCTTCAAAAACGATGCCCATCCCTCTCCATTCACACCCTCCGACACCATCACAACTCCAATCCGACGCCCTCCCCCACACTGTGCTATCGTCAAGTACCTACCACGACTGTTCGCACAACGTGCTAGAAAAGGCCGTGAAGACTCATTAAACATGGAGACAAAATCCCTCAATTTACTGGCCGCTCTCAACTTATCCACCATATTCACCATCCATAAGGCATCAAATCTCCCCATATAGATAGCGGTCGACATCCTCAAACCCCATTCTATTATCCTAACAGAACCCGATTCATCAACAGACACCTCAAACTCCTTCGTCTCAACTCTAAATCGCGAATTAAATACCAAACCATATGCATCCACCCACTTTTTCCTCCGATGTTGAAAAAAGGGCAAATCTGATGACGAAATTGGTCGGCTAATGATGCTGGGCATGTTCTGCTGAAAACTCTTTTTCCGGTGACGGTGCATGTAGCACACGCGCCGACAGGTCCGCCGCCGGAGCAGCGCGTGGACCACTCGCTCGTCTTACCGGTGTCAGAATGGGCCGCTCATGACGCCGGTCAGGCGCGTCTGCCTGGGAAGTGGACGGATTCAGGTAAATCTGGGATTGGTTCCCAGATTGTTTCACTGTAGATCCTCCACCAACTATGCCGTCGCCGAATGTCTCCCCTTCAGCCCATGTCATCACACTGTAGATCCCTGCACCGGAGCGAGCGGCGGTGCTAGGGTTCCCACCTAAGGCCGCCGCTTGTGAATGGGGGTAGATATGTGGCGTGAGGCCGGTAAGTGGTTGTTGGGTGGTGTTTGGCTGGGTCGGTGGGTGGTGGGTGGGTATATTTGGATTTTGGGGAGAGAGGCTCCATGTGTTTCGACTTCACGTGGGGGAGAGAGTTACCCATCGATTTAGGATTTAATGGCAGCCTAACTCAGATAAGTTGAAATCCTAGTCTGATAAATGTCTAATCATTAAATATAATCATATTTTGGTTTCAATAAATGTTAAAAGTTCATTGTAATCCTACAGATAAAGTTTAATGATAATACCAATTTGATTAAAACTACTTTTCATTCTTTCAATTATTATAATAATGTTCCAATTCAATGAAACCTATTAGCATATTTGTCCACGTATGTGACCTATGAAGCCTTAAACTCCAATTGATAATTGTGATAGTTACCTACATTCTGAAACTTTCTGTCCAATTTTAATGGAACACGGCATGTCTATTTCAATTGTTTCAAAACTCAATTATTTTTAACTATAAATACCATGCAAGAGGTCCCGTCATTCACCACAAAAAATAAAAAATACCCATAAGGTGAACGCGGTGGCAGAGAGATTTAGCANAGGCCGCCGCTTGTGAATGGGGGTAGATATGTGGCGTGAGGCCGGTAAGTGGTTGTTGGGTGGTGTTTGGCTGGGTCGGTGGGTGGTGGGTGGGTATATTTGGATTTTGGGGAGAGAGGCTCCATGTGTTTCGACTTCACGTGGGGGAGAGAGTTACCCATCGATTTAGGATTTAATGGCAGCCTAACTCAGATAAGTTGAAATCCTAGTCTGATAAATGTCTAATCATTAAATATAATCATATTTTGGTTTCAATAAATGTTAAAAGTTCATTGTAATCCTACAGATAAAGTTTAATGATAATACCAATTTGATTAAAACTACTTTTCATTCTTTCAATTATTATAATAATGTTCCAATTCAATGAAACCTATTAGCATATTTGTCCACGTATGTGACCTATGAAGCCTTAAACTCCAATTGATAATTGTGATAGTTACCTACATTCTGAAACTTTCTGTCCAATTTTAATGGAACACGGCATGTCTATTTCAATTGTTTCAAAACTCAATTATTTTTAACTATAAATACCATGCAAGAGGTCCCGTCATTCACCACAAAAAATAAAAAATACCCATAAGGTGAACGCGGTGGCAGAGAGATTTAGCAAAAGGATTTGGAAATTGAATTCATATTTCTTTCAAAGGAAAATTCATTTCATTTAGCGAGGTAAGATACCTTTGTACAAGTTGATGTTTCCGTATACTTTTATGTTCAATAAGTTATGCATTAATTGTCAATAGACCTTCGGGTTCGACCCAAAGAAATGTTGAAATCCTTCGGAAATTCAAGATGAAAAATGATGAGTATCTCACTTAGTCATACCGATATACTCCATAAAGAAAAATGTGATATAAATTGTCTATGTTATTGTTATATAATTGCGTATAGAAACTGCGCGTATTTTACTGGGTGTTTTTTAAAATACTCACTCTTACAAAATTTTACAGGCTAATTCGGGTCAATTGGAACTGTGGCAGGAGAGTGCAGCGGACTGCCAAGGGATTTCGTCCTACGAAAATAATAAGTTTCAATGCCTTTAAATTCATTAGTTTGTTTTGTTTAATAACGTTATTATCAAGTTTATTAGTTGAGAATGTATTTGTTTAATAACGTTATTATCAAGTTTATTAGTTAAGAATGTTTAAGTTTTTTAAAGACACAATTTATTAATTCAAATTCAAATTTATGGATGTTCTAATATTTCGTTATTAAAGAATTTTATCGTTCCGCGAAAATTAGATTTTGGTAACACTCCATTGTTTGTGAAATTTTTGGGACGTTACAATGGTTGTCAACGGGTGCTTGCTATTAAATATAAAGTAGATGGATCTATTGAAAGGTAGAAAGCCCATTTGCTAGCAACAGACTCAAACTATGGGATTGATTACTAGAAGACACTAGTTGCGAAAATATATCAAAAAATGACTCGCAGCAACAATTAACACGTGTATTCAACAGTTTGATGTCATAATTACCTTTCTCCATGGAATTATAGGGAAAGAAGGATCTGACTTTGGGTTCTGAATAAAAGACAGGCAACAAGAAAGCATGACAGCTGAGGAAGTCATTGTAAGAGCTAAAACAATGTCACTAAATCATGTGTTCAAAAGATTATTGGAGTTCTTGCAGCTATGGATTCCCAAGGCCAAGGAAACCACACTTAATTTTTAGCATTAAACATTCATGAAAGTCATTTAGTTTATTTTGATAATGATCACATCATTTGGCTCCATATATCTATAGAAAGCAGTCTGTTGAGCAGGGACAGAAAGAGATACCTTTTGCTTTTGATAGTCTGATACAATTCGTTTTTGCATCATCATAACCACATCTGAACCGGCATCAATCTACAATAAAGAAGATACAACGTAACAGATTATTCCTCAGTTTCTGAGCACTGAAAATGTGCTACCTTCAGTAAAAACAGTGTAAGACACTATAACATTGCAAGATTAACAATTTCTTGGCGTTAATCTCTCCCACTGCACATTCTATGGGTTTAAATATTAAAAGATCCTTAGGAGTAGGGGAAAATGAAACAGGACCTACGAAATTTTGTGTCTCAGCTCCCTATGCTTTTTAATTTTCATTTAAAAAATGAACTAGCCAAGGAAGCAGCAAAATTACATGCCGATTTCTGAAACAAATCTATCTAAACTCTAACTGCTGAGTCCAAAAGACATACAATTGTTTAATTCATTATTAAAGCAGTTGTAGAAACCTTAGATCCTACCTGTGCAAACAATCGAGCAAGCAATGCCATTTGTGTCTGCGTGAGATCAGTTCTTTGTATATTCTGGTACTCGTCAATTATTCGTTCAAAAGCCAGTTTAATCACAGTTCTTTGATGATCTTCGTTTAGCTCCATGTAAGGAGGAAGCACAGGCAACTGCTCAACTACAATTTCAGAGGCCTCCAAATTTGAAATAGGTGGTGAAAGTTCATCCAGTTCTTGTGATGATGGCGAATAAGCCTCATCAAGCATTATGGCATCCAATGATGTATGTGCTACAGTGTCCTCAACTTTGCTGAGAGTGGACAGGGGAGTATACAAAGCAGCATTTCCTTTACTATCTGTTATAATCTCTTTGGCTTCCATGTCCTGAACTTCAACTTTGGGAGTCCATTGGCCAGCTTCTAATTTTACAGAGCATTCCAACAAATTCAAATCAGTTGTAGTTTTCGGCATAGGAGACACTGAAACACTTTCAGAACTATGCAGATATGGTGGCGCAGGGGTTTGACTGAAAGAACTAGAATCATCAAAATCTTGTTCTAAAGCATGACACTGGGTGTCAGTTGTACTATTGTCAACAAAAGATGGTGGTAGAACTTCAACAGGTGCCACCATACGCCTTGGATCAAGTCGACGAGGATCCTGAACCATTTATCAAACGCTAACCACACAAAATATGGAAGAAAAGAACTCAAAAGTACAAAAAGAAATAACTAAATTCAAAAAGAAGAAAAATAAACTGTTATACAAATAGGCAATGCTTACCCTTCGTGGATCACGTTTGGAATCGGAAGGAAGATTACTTGAAGTGGGCATATCAGAAGATGGAAGGCTTATCATGCCTGATGAAGATACAGGTAGTTGAGCTGCAAGTCCCAAAATCTGCATAGACATGGAACCATTTGATGCCACACCCTGGGACAGACTTGGAGAATCACTTTGACGATTGAATGGCAGGTTACCAAATGTTGTCGGGGGAAAGGGAGGCGGATTCCTCGGAAAGTGCTTCATATTAGTTATGACTATATCTGCAAGCAAATCTGGATGAATGTTGGATATAAGAATTTCGAGAGAGTCAACACCTCTTTCTCCTTCAGCAATTAAAGCACCAATCATGGCAATCATTTGCTCAAGAGGAGTTGGATCCTGATCCAACAGAGGAACCTTAGGAGATATCCCATTGATGGGATCCTGCCCAGCATCATTCACGTCAAGTCTTGAATCTGTGACACCATGAGGGCCACCATAACGTAACCTTTTATAAGTTACATCGTTAGTATTATTTGAATCTTCATTCTCCATTGGTGCCAACCTTTTACTCATCATATCTCGTAAAATAGGAAGCTGATCTGATTGCTGGTCATCCTGAAAAAGAGAATAAGTCGCTAAGGTGGTTGTGAATAAATATTAGGATGCAGCAATCCACCAGACTACATGAGAACGACTCCAAAGAACTAACTACTTCTTCCAACAGCAATACCTTGCTCAACCGCAAATCCCACGATGCCCGCTCATTACTTCTCTTAATTTTATCCACTTGTCGGATAACTTGATCAGCAGCATCTCCTGCATTCCTAGCTCGCAATGCCTTGAGCAATCTCTCTCTCGACTGAGGAAAAAGAACAAAGGGATTTCAAGGATACGTCAAACATTAGAGATTAACATTTTTATATTTTTTAATTATTTTTTTGTTGGTTCTGGCACAATTCCACTACCAACATATATGCATCTATACATTAATATATTAATTAGAAAAAAGGAGTTAAATATTACAGGGAATAAATGTTAATCTTATATTCTTTTATTTGGCATTTAACTATGATGGGTGCAAAGGGAAAATATATCAATGAACTGGTAATTTGTAACATAATGGCTCGTGTAAAATGCATTATATAATTTACTGAAACTAAAGTTATAACCACATGAATAGCATTCTCTTTGTGAGAAAGCAAGACGACAAGTTCAAGAGCTTCCACTACAAGGAAGTGTAAAAAGAATTATATAATTTGAAAGAAATGTCATTGAAAAGATTATGACTGAAGCCTAAATCTTCGACATCTCTCTGGCAAGACAATGTGGTCTATGAGTCATCAAACTATCAGTATCGTACATCAATAATATTTTAAGTAAAGCATTACCTCCACAATGACAGGCTGTGTACATCTCATAAATCCTAAAAACGCAGTTTTTAGAGAATAGTGAATACTGAGAGTATGTCGACCCTTCACTGTCTCAGAGTTCACATTAAAATCAAGCAGTGCCGGGAGGACGGAGGAATAATACATAGGTCTTTTCCTTGCTATCAATGCAAGACTGCAAATAAAGATTTATTGTTAGACCATAAACAGAGCTGAAACACGAATAAATAGTACAAGGATATCACATTATAAACCAGAACTCAAGCAAAACAAAACATAAACTTCTATCATATATCCTCAATAAAGGAAACAATGTAACCCTCTGTCAAAACATGGATGGCTGAAAAATAAAAAGTAAAACCATTGTGGGGGTGGGGGTGGGAGGAGACTAAGTGGATACATGACAGCAAACAATGAGGAAGATGCAGGCAGCACACTGTGATTAATAGAGATATCAGATCAGAGAGGTCTATCCACAAGTTTCAGTACAATCCAAATAGTACTTTTAACGGTTTAGACAGGCTCAACGCATGCAAGGATTTTCTTTTATCAACTTGAGCTTCATTTGATTCTATCCTTTTCCCCTCTTTCTATACGTCCCATAAAGGCATTACTTGATACATCAGAAGCTCGAAATATGATATATGTATTGATTGAAATTCAAACAAATTAGGGAAAGCAATATAACATCAAGTCAAATATAGCTTCTCTCAGGATAAGCGACAAGGATAAAAGCTAACTGGATCCCATTAAAATGCTATTGTATCAGTTTGGGGGTTACATATAGAACACTATTCCAAAGAAAATGAGAATAAAAACAAAAGAAAATAAAATGTGAGAAAGGATGTAGAGAACTTTGAATAAAATTTGAGGACAATGATTTTATTTTTATTTTTTTACTTTGGCAGTGGGTACTCAGAAGCCAAACTCAAAAACGCTTAGTTTGTTGCTTTGTTATTTGTGAGGCTACAACATTTACAGCACAATAGAAATTGACAACTCCAATTACCACAAAGTATAAACTCAGTTCAATTTCGTTCTCGTGAGACTGTTTTACCTGCAGATGGATTTAATTCAAAAAAATCACACAAGGTCGTACATGTGTCCAAGTGAAAACCAACATCCAAGAAGGTTTGCCAAACATCACCACGAGATGAAATATAATAAATAAAATATGTAGAGATGTTGGCAATGCAAACTAAACTTAATACTCATGAAATGAAAAGAACGCATTATCATGATCATATAACAAATTTTTGAACAGAAAAAATGAATTTCATATCACCGAGTAAATGAAACATTAGCAACCAATGAAATGAGATTGAAAAAAGAAAAAGAGGAAAGACAAGTAACAACAAAGTTTCAACACCACATGATCTTTTATAGATTCACTTCATCATTTTTCTTCTGGAAAATGCAGTTATAAAAAATATAAAAAGGCAGATTCAATGTAAAAAATTCTTCTTGCAATATCAAATTTTAAGAAATTAGACTCGAGATACTTTAATATCTTTCCTTCAGTGGGAGTTTGTACACAATGCACTCTTCGGGGTGCCAGAGCAGAAATAGGAACTACTCAAGCATGGAACCATCACTCAATCTCTACTGTGTTCTTCAGTCGAATATAGTAATTCAATGCATAAATGGTTTAGAAAGGAAAAATAATTAGTCACCCATTCTAAAGAAAGTGAAAACTTACAAGCCTGCCAATGTTGGGCAAATTCCATGGCACATACTATTGTTTTTTTCTTGGAAAACAAAAAAAGTCAGGCATGAGTACGTCACAGAAACCCCTTAAATTGCGTTAGTAAGCTTCAAAGAGGTACTGGTTGGCACAAAATGCAATCACCATATTAAGAGGATGTTTGGTGGGGATTAAAATTAGATTTTTAGTAGATTGTGGTAGAAATTTTTGAAATGTGTGGTTAATATTGATTGTTTGACTTTGACTGGATTAAAATTAGATTTTAATGTGGACCAAACAGGGGCTAAACTTGCTACTACAGGAAACACTTCTCCTAGACCCAAAAATTTTAAATGAAATTCAATGACATCCTTGCCGTGATAAACATCAAAAAATTGCATATATATTACAGCCATTGCTACCTCTAGGGAAGCCAAACCAATCACAGTTTACCTTCTGATAAATTTCTCTCTGCAATAATCTATATAGCAAATGAGATAACAAAAGAGGTTAAGCACATTCAATTTATCGCCGAAAATTAAAACAAATTTGATGACTTCAAAATCCTGTTACTACAAGTAGCACCATGACAAAAAATGCTGTATTAGCTCCCGTCCAAATACCCGCTCAAGGCTTCAAAGATATTGTACATAATGTACATGATATGCAATTCAGATCAACAGAAATATAAAAATTTCGACATTAATCGAATGGATGAAGAATTTAATCCATTTACTGAAAAACTAATATTGTCTCTTATTCAGCAGTTGTTTGGTCACAAGAGTTGAAATATAAATTAATCTTTGTTACCAACTTGTAATCTTTATTAATTGTTAGGGACTAAAGTACAATTTCTTTTCTTTTCATCTTGTATTTACTATTGTAATTTTACCACAAAATCAATACATCTTTAATAGAGGGTTTTATGCTGTTGGTATCAGAGACATCCCGTAACCCTAGGTGAGTCGCGACTTACCTCCCGGCGACGGCGACGGTGACTTCGCTGTTCCTGTTCGCGACAACGGTTCCTTCCCCTTTTTCATTTTTCGCGACTGACTCAGCTCCTGTTCGCGATTCTTCCCTGTTCGCTACTGCAGCTGTCCTGCCCGCACTGTTCCGACGCGTTTTTCCGGCTGCTCCGACGCCAACGACGTCGCGCCTGATCCTTGCTGTTCCGGCACCGATCTTCTGTAAGGGTTGTAAAGTTTGATTTAAATGCAATATCTCCTGGAGACATTGCCAGTTCAGCACCCATTTATACCAGCTGAAGCAATAGCAAAAAAAGTAGGAGTATTGGCTACTTGCAACGGGGTTTTATAACCAAACATTGGCAGTGATCGCCCTGATTATCGCCACCCCGGTTCTGGTCCTGGTCAGTCCGATTCTTATCCCAGCATTTCTGTCAGCACAAAAGCCACCCTTCTCTTTGGTTTCTCAGAATTAACCATTCTTCAATATGATAGCTTGAAACCTTAATTCTGCGAAAATTTCTGAAAGTTTCGACAATACTTGGAATTTGTATTTGGAATCCAAAAGCAGAGAAAAGGAATAAATGCAGTCTCTGGTTTCTTGGTTGGCCTTCTAAATAATGTACTGAGTCGCCAAAGGTATTGGTTTTGCACGTTCTAAAGTTTATTGGTGGTGGTGTTAACTTGTTACATTGGGTTGGTATTTTATTAGTCACATGCGCTTTGATTCTGAAGTTTTTTCTGGGTTCATTGGTTGAAGATTGGATTTGAATTGTTTGCATTTGGTGGTTCCCGTGCTCTCCAGTTGGCGGTTTGCATTTGGTGCTATTCTTGAAAAATGGCTTCTCAAGTTGCTCGTTCATTTTCTGGGGAAGGTGTATTTGGGTTGCACTCTACTTCTACTGCATCTGATTGTTGGGTTATCGATTCTGGAGCTACCGATCATTTTACGTGTAATTCCTCCACATTTGATTCCATGACAACTCCGCCCGTTCAGTCTGTTCAAATGGCTAATGGGACCCCTGTTAAAGTTACCGGGGCCGGAAACGTCTCGTTTTCACCTTCTTTCTCTCTCTCTCATCCGTTTTACTTGCACCCACTTTTTCCACTAATCTCTTATCTATTAGTTAAATTACAAAGCATCTTGATTGCTCTGTCATCTTCTCACCTACTAATTGTGTATTTCAGGACAATCGAACGAAGATGACGATTGGCACTGGTAGAGAGAGAGGAGGGTTGTATATTTTGGAGGAAACAAGGCGGTTGCAAACTGAGGATACCCATGGTCTCCAAATTGTTAGTAAATCATCTCCCAGAGATAGGATCCTTTTGTGGCATTGCCGATTAGGTCATCCTTCATTTACTTACTTAGAACACTTATTCCCATGGCTATTTAAAAATATTCCTAGTTCTAGTATGCGATGTGAACAATGCATTTTTGCCAAAAATCATCGTGTACCTTTCAAAGTCAGTTTCAATAGAAGTTCTGTTCCTTTTTCTTGTGTTCATACTGATATTTGGGGGCCTTTCTCTACTCCATCTGCTACAGGTCATAAATATTTTGTCTCTTTCATTGATGATTGTACCAGAGTTTGTGGGATATATTTGTTAAAATCAAAGGATGAAGTCGTCTATGTTATTCCAAAATTCTTTAAAATGATTGAGACACAATTTCATACACGGGTTAAAATTATTCATTCTGATAATGGTCGTGAGTTTGTAAATCAAACCCTTGGAAACTTCTTCTTGACTCACGGCATTCTCCATCAGACCACTTGTGCTTACACAACTCAACAAAATAGCATCGTCGAGCGAAAAAATCGACACATTCTTGAAGTAGCTAGGGTTTTATGTTTCACTATGCGAGTTCCAAAGCATTTTTGGGCTGAGGCGGTGACAACTGTTGTCTTTCTCATAAATCGCATGCCTGCTCGCATTATTAACTTTCAAACTCCCTTAAAAATGTTGTCCAAGTTTCACTCTATTCCCTCTGCTTTAAATATCTGTCCCAAGATTTTTGGTTGTGTGTATTATGTCCACGTACATTCTCATCTCAGAGATAAATTTGATCCTCATGCCCTGAAGTGTGTCTTCCTTGGTTACTCTAGCTCCCAGAAGGGTTTGATCCTTGTGCCCTGAAGTGTGTCTTCCTTGGTTACTCTAGCTCCCAGAAGGGCTACAAATGTTTTCACCCCCCTACGGGAAAATAGTACGTTTCCATGGATGTAGAATTTTGCGATTCAGAATCCTTTTTTTCTAATGATATTTCGTTAGTTCCTCTTCAGGGGGAGATTAGTAGTAAGGAAGAGGAACGAGTGTGGTTAGAAGAAAAGAAAGTGTGGATTTCTGGAAAAGAGGGAGAATCCCAAGCTGAATCCCAAAATGAAAATGAATCTCGAGTTGGGGGTAATAGATCACATCGCCTGTTCCAAAAGTGTTATACAAGGAAAAACTTAGACAATGCTTGCACTCCTGTATTAGCCACTTCAGACCCTGATATCCCTTTTGTTGATTCTACAGTGCCATCGGATTCTTCGGAGATTGAAAATGAGGTACCTAATCTGCTTACCCCTTCTACTCCTATCTCTGTTTATGATTCTAATCCTGCAGCTTTAGACATGGTTGATACTCAGGATAGGAGATATCCTCTTCGAGTCCATAATAAGCCCGATAGGTTTGGTTTTTCGAAATCTTCTTCCAATGCTATCTTTCCTATCTCTGATTATATCTCGTACCACCGTTTATCTAAGACTAATTTGACATTTGCCCTCCAATTATCTTCTGTGTCTATCCCTAATCACTTTCAGGAAGCTCTTGATCAACCTAAGTGGAAATCAGCTATGGTAGAAGAAATGAATGGTCTCCAAAAAAACTCTACTTGGGAGATGACCTTATTACCACCAGGAAAAAAGACAGTGCGATGCAAGTGGGTGTACTCATTAAAATACAGGTCAGATGGAACTGTGGATAGGTATAAAGCTAGATTGGTTGCCAAAGGGTACACACAGACTTATGGGATTGATTACCAGGAAACCTTTGCTCCAGTAGCTAAGATGAATACCGTTAGAGTTATCCTATCTCTAGCGGTCAATCTTGATTGGCCATTGAGGCAATTTGATGTTAAAAATGCATTCCTTCACGGTGATTTGACAGAGGAAGTGTATATGAATCCTCCTCCTGGGTTCACTCCTCCAGGAGGTAATGTGTGTAAACTGAAAAAAGCCCTTTATGGGCTAAAACAATCACCCAGGGCGTGGTTTGAAAGATTGAGTTGTTCAATGAAAGAGTATGGCTTTAAACAGGCCTGGGCTGATTATACCCTATTTTATAAGAGAGATGGTCGTGATATTACTATGCCCATTGTGTATGTGGATGACATGATTGTTACTGGTAGTAATCCTAGTGAGATTAAGAAACTTCGAAGCCATTTGACAAAGGAGTTCGAAATGAAGGATTTGGGTACTTTGAAGTATTTCTTGGGCATTGAGATATCACGGTCTCAGCAAGGACTTATCTCAACGCAAGTACGTCATCGACCTCCTAACAGAAACTGGTATGTCGGCTTGAACCCCTGTTGACACACCCATTGAGGTAAATCATGGCCAATCTATTTATCCTGATCAAATTTCCACAAACAAAAAGAGATACCAAAGATTGGTGGGGAAGTTGATTCATCTAACCCACACGAGACCTGATTTGTCATATGCAATTAGCGTTGTGAGTCAATTCATGCATAATCCTAGTGAGCATCATATAAGTGCAGTTAATCGGATATTGGCATATCTTAAATCCTCTCCAGGCAAAGGCATTTTGTACTCAAAAAGGGGGCATTTAGATATTGTGGGTTACACGGATTCTGATTTTGCTGCATCGAGATTGGATAGAAAATCCACAGCAGGGTATGTATCGTTTGTTGGGGGCAATCTAGTGACTTGGAGGAGTAAGAAACAGAATGTGGTCTCACTATCCAGTGCTAAGGCAGAATATTGAGCGTTACATCATGCAACTACCGAGCTTACATGGTTAAAACTTCTTCTTAGTGAACTTGGGTTTGGTCCGGACAAGCCTATGTTACTTTTCTGTGACAACACTGCTGCTATTAAAATTGCAAACAATCATGTGCAACATGATAGAACAAAACATGTTGAACTTGATAGGAACTACATCAAAGATAATCTCGACTCCAAAAATATAGAGGTTCCATACATCAAGAGGGCGGAATAACTAGCTGATATAATGACACATGGAGTTGCTAGTGGTCCATTCTATACAATGACATCCAAGTTGGGCATGCAAGATATCTATACACCAACTTGAGGGGGAGAGTTGAAATATATATTAATCTTTGTTACCAACTTGTAATCTTTATTAATTGTTAGGGACTAAAGTACAATTTCTTTTCTTTTCATCTTGTATTTACTATTGTAATTTTACCACAAAATCAATACAAGAAATTATCTCCCAAAATACGACAACAAGAACTATCAGTTATCGCAGAAACAATATTTAGAATGAGCAACCAATGACTAGATCACTGTGAAACTACATCTTAAGCCTACCACATTAACCATTAGACAACACCATGAGAGAAAAAAGAAAAGAAAAGAAAAGAAAAGGAAAGAAAAGGAAAGGAAAGGAAAAGAAAAGAAAAACTATGAAACAGAGACTACTTAATTTGTTACAATTTGAGAATTTAAACAGTGCAATTAACAAATAGGACCCCAACAGAAACACTTCAAGAAGACCCTGGCAACCAAGATGACCAAACTATGAAACCAATCGAGTTGCCACTAGAAGATTATCCTCCAGAAAACATACAACCATATTGAACAAGATAACAAGTTCAATCTTAAATGTCGCAGTTTAGCCAGCCTCCCCAAGTTACTAGAAGTTAATGACAAACTAGAACCAGTATGTGAAAATTATGATTAAATTTGCACCTACAACAACAACAATTAAGCCATTTTCCCATAAGATAAAATTCAACTTAGCTAGACAGAAATAAATGAGGATATGTAGCTAAAATATTCACACAATTTCTTCAAGGAATTTTTCATTTTAAATAATCAAGGAACTAGAAGCCTCATAATGCCCTAATGAAGCAAACTGGGTAATGGCACAAACATTAGAGCAAAGTAGAGTTCTTTTAAAAAAAAAAAAAGTCAAGGCGGTGGTAGAGTAACATTTGCATGCAGTTGTAAAGTCAAAAAAATACATACATAACAAGACCCAATCAAATGCTATTATGCTAAGCATAGAAAGGTAAATACAAAACAAGACCCCACAAAATGCCCAGTATACATTACAAACTAAGTACTGGAGGATTCTCTGTTGTGTTTTATTAAAAGTTACAACCAAATTACTTACTGCATGCACAATGGTTAAAAATCTTTAACCAGCTAGCTCAAATATCGTTTAATTACCCATACAGATCCATAAATAAACTCAGCATCCCCATTTTCCTTAGACTCTACTGGACAGTTCGCCAGCTGGTCGAAAGATTCTGTTTTCTCACCATTCCGAAAAAGGGAACTGGAGTGGACACAGAGATCATCATAAGGTTTAGACCAGCTTCAAGAATTTTGTACAAGTTCAGGATTTCCATAACTAGACATTCTTACACATTACCCCAACAGCACATAAATGCCCACAGAAGATTGTAAGTATGTGCTGAGGTGCACAAGCAAAACATGATCAAAAGCAGCAAATTTTAACTCGCCACGTCATCTTCACCAAAAGCATGAGATTCGAAACCAGTAAGCACATTCTACGAAGGTTCCAGCTATATTAGGGGTAGGCACTTTAATTAGCTTCTGTTAGTCAAAAAACGAGAATGTCCTGCATTATTGCATCATGCTACCCTAGTCACTCAGGAACAGGAGTATTAATATCAAATTTCTTTAATAATGTAGAAAAATTTATGCAGTTCACATAAAGGCACCACCTATTCACAATTTGTGTGAATTAAGCATCAACCAGAGGTCCAGTAGCTAATCAAAAGAAATAGAAAAACCAACAGCTGCAGCAAGAAACAATACAGGAACAGAGGCATAAGTAGCAATCAGTGTCTTTCCTTAAACAAATACCTGAGCAGAAGTATGATATGTTACAGTAAAGTTGTTTTTCTATAAATCCTCCTGAGATAATAATGTTTAACCCCCATTTTTTGGCCATATGTCACTTAAAATATTTTTTTGTTGACCACAACAAACCTGCATGCCCGAATTGCTTTTTAAATTTAATTGAGGGAAGTTTCTGAAATCACCTTTATTAGTCGAAAAGATAAAAACATTGTCAATTAAAATCCATATCTTCCAGAGTGGCAAAAATAATTAGCTTGCTCTGTATAGAACTTAACATTTATAAACTCATTAAAGAATGCCAAGCACAATCCAAACTGAACTTCCATCTCCAAAGTAGGTTGGCCATGTGATTCAGATCATGAATAATACTAAAGACTACACAAGAATATGCTTTTCAAGTGCAGGTCATGAATATATGCATAGTTCGCCTCCTGGCCCATTCTGAAGATACAGTAATTACAGTTTGTAATTACTGTATCTGATGCATAACTTAATATCAGCATATTGCCCATACTTCTTCGTTCTATCGGCATTATGTACAGAAAGTTCTCTGTTATTTTTATTTAATAAGTAGTACAATCATAGTTTTCTCAAATTATCTTCTGTTCCATAAATTAGACAGAAATACTAACAACACTGTTCTCATGGTCGATGGCATTTTGCATGATCGGCAGAACTGAATTCAGCAGTAGAGATTGTTAGGCAGATCAATCAATCATTTTAATGTTCATTTTGCAAAATCTTGTTTCTCACAATACTTGCAAATTTTAATTGAAGTTTAGGAAAATGAGTTAACTGCCTTCACCAGAAACACATCTAGCTGTTTGATGACCTTATTTGTCAGGGAGGAAATGTATCTTGTGACACACATCAGCTAAAGGATTTCGTATTACTGAATAGTGTCATGCTGAAAATAAAATGAAACCATCAGCTTTCATGATTAAGGTCAGGATATAAACCACAAAACTTGCTTGCTTCCACAGCAGAAGATATGGGCTGAGAACTGATCTTTAGATCAGAAAAGACCAACAAACCCGAAAATTATAACGAACTTCCACGGGGAACGCAATGAAATGAAGTTTCAGAATGGAAATATAACAAGTATAGCTGATCAAAACCATCTACCAATGACGAAAATGATAGCCATATATATTATAGCATGGAAGATTTTCTAAAAATATATACATTTAAAACAGTATTTACAGCGTCGTCCTAAAATTGTATGTATATACAGAAACATGTTCTAATAAATGGTATGGTCTCTCGACAATATCAGAAGCACTAAATTGCTTGCCCCAATATTTTTTAGAACAAACCAGCCGATCTATGAACTGCCAATGTTGGTGACATCAGCTAACTCCTACATGTGCTATCTGACTCACCAATTCTGCATCCCAAGCGAAATGCCATTTAACTCTGAGTTAAAAAGCTGGAAAACATACTGCAATAATTAGCACCGAAAGGCAATCGAACTTACACTACAACCAAATTCAAGCTTCAGTGACCCGCCAAGAATTCTAAAACAATGGAACTGTTTAAGATGTGCAATTCACCATTATAAAGAACCGTCCAGAGGCTTTATTTGCATAAAAAAAAATTTAACAAAGTTTTGGCCATCTTCTCTTCTTTTAGAAAGTCAAGCTACAAACAATAGTTCAGACTGTATAATTGCACACTCTTCACTATGAGAGATGATCATTGAAATGAAAATCCTGGTGAAAACTTATGCTGAGATAAATGATAAAATATAAAGAGGCATAAGTGCCAATTGGCATCTCAGATATGATGAACATATTAAAAACTGGATTGTGTAGAGGATCATACTGATGCATGGAAATGCATGAATAAGGCACCAAGCCCCTAATAGAAATATGAAAACATGTGCACACATAACACAATAACAATAACAAGAGAAAAATAAAACCACTTCACTACAGGTCAATACTGAAAGACATGAGAGCACATGAAGTTCATGCGTCTACCAAACATCCTGAAAATGGATAAAAAAATCCATGATGGATATTCGCAAACTACATGGTGTAAAACATAAGACACTAAAAAAATTCAACAAAAGAAATTAAAATTTGCATAGGAATGTGTATTACGATTGCTTGCAGATGCAAAACAACCGGATTGTCAATCTTCAAAATTAAACTATAAATACAAACCATAAACAAATATATAATGATGAAGCAATAACAAATCAGGTGCTCTATGCAGAAAATATAAACATAGATCTTCATATTACCAAAAGGGGAAGGATGCAAAGGGTGACCCAGTTTCTCATGAAAACAAATTTTTTTTTTTTTTTTTATAAGTAATCAGAGAATATATTAATAAGTAAATAGATAATACATGGGAAATGTATTATCAATTTAAACAATATAGGAACGACATGAAATTAGGCAACCCTTCTATATGGTTATTAGCCAAAGTACTAAACCAACTATACAAAGTCATATAAAATAATTCTCTGAGCTGCTCTATTGTTCTTGATTGGTCTTCAAAACAGCGGTTATTCCTTTCTCTCCACACGCACCATACAATGCATCCCGGAATAAGATCCCATACAATCCTACTATCTTTATCACGAAATTTCCTCCTCCATGCCCGTATCACATCTTCAATTCGCCTAGGCATCACCCAATCCAAATTTTGAGAAACAAGGATGCTGTTCCAAAGCCACCGAACACCATCGCAATAAATGAACAGATGGTCAATCGTCTCCCCATCCTTATTACACATGTAACACCACTCGGTAACACAAAGACCCCTTCTTCGAAGATTATCCACCGTTAACGCTTGCCCCCGCACAACCGTCCACAATAAAAAAGCCACCCGTGGAGGCAATTTACATTGCCACACCATCTTCCATGGGAATGAGCTCGGCGCAGGTTCAACTAATGATCTAAAATACGAGCGAACTGAGAATATACCATTCCGTGCCAACCTCCACCTGCTACGATCGTCTACTCCAACCTGAACGTGCGCCTCATGCAAAGAGGTCAGAAACAATGCAAAATCATCTAATTCCCAATCCTGTAAACCCCTCTCAAAAATAGGATTCCAACTGTGACTTCCATTATGAATGGTGAGTACATCATTTACCATAGCAGACGGCTCCAAGGCAATGCGATGCAGAGAAGGAAAACGCACCTTAAGCGGTTGATCTCCACACCAACGATCGTCCCAAAACCTGATATTATTGCCATATCCTACCTCATAGTCCACATTATCTCGAAAGTCGCTCCAACCTCGTCGAATATACCTCCACAAACTCACCCCATAAGAACCACGACCGTCAACTGAGCACCAACCCCCCTCTATAACACGATACTTCGCTCCAATGATTTCTCTCCAAAAACTCAGCCTCTCCACCCCAAATCGCCACAACCACTTGCCCAGCAATGCCTTATTAAACAGGACCAGGCTCCTCAACCCAAGCCCCCCCATCTCATGAAAACAAATTCACATAAATTAAATATAGAAGCTAGATATATGCTTTCACATCATTTGAAATTGAAAGAAGGACAATAGCAACCAGAAATTATCATTCCTTTGAACTCTAAAAGACCCAAACTGATGCCAATGTCATACCAAACATTTATTATATTCTTTTCTACTATTAAACAGCGATACATCGCAACAGTTCATACGAAAATTGCAGAAACATTTGCGACCTTGGAACAATTTAGTTGGTGAAGTGTAATCCGAATTCACATTTACTAATCATATAATTCAAAGAGAAACCTTGTAAACTCCATTTTGGATCTCGGATATTAGACAGGAAACTAACAGGAAAATCTTCTTACATTTGGATTGCAAAGAAATTTTTGAGTACATGGGCAATGTACAAATTAAGGGAGACAAACTTCTGATTTATACATGCTTTTCCTTTCATTTACAGGGAATTCAACTATACTGAAAAAGTCAGCCACATTTGATTTTCACTTTAAGAATGACAAAAACTGGGACTTCTATTTTCTCCAGATTTCCTTTTTCCAAGTTCCAAATGGAACCCAACGGTTACTCCCCAGAGTATAAACCAACATTCCTATTTGTCAATTTGTTAATCTACATGAGTACTGTAGTATAAGCTACCTGTGTTTCTAGGGAAGGAGACAAATCCAAGTTTAATTAGGAGCTCTTTTGGATCTTATACATTCACATTTGTTTTAATTGGAGTGTGAGGCCTCTTATAGCACCATGGGATGCAAAAGAGCCATCAGCTGGATGCTTAAGGCAGAGGTGGTGCATAATTATATTTTCTTCATAATTCTTCTTTAATACTTTGGAACACTAAACACCCACAATGAAGTTTCTACACAGCTCAATGTCATGTCATGATTAACATTCATCTCTACTTCATTTTGACACAATAATATAATCCTTATTTTGGAATTAGCATGTTTTATCAAGTCACTTATTTCTTAAAGGTGATTTTTCAAATTTGAATCCTTGAACTGTTTCCTCCCTCTGGTGTAAAATTACATCATCCACCAACAAAGAGCAGCTGATTTTAGTTTTGCTATTGCTGTTTCTTTAAGTTTTTCTTAAGAGCTCATCGTAGCATGATAAGTAAGTGTAACAAATGTGCAAAACAGATTTTTGCATGTCTAACAAAGAGGTATATAACAAATTAGCTACTGGATGCTCACCTATTAACAACAGAAATTGTCAATGAACCACAAAGATTGCCAGCTGATCGCAACGAATCCAGTAAAATTCCAAAATATCTATTTGCATCTGATACAAGAGCAGGTAGATCCAGAACAGGATGACGATCAACCAGCATTGAGATGTTAAATGCCCTTCCATGCCTTGTAGTAACTATTATAGCCAGAGCAAAATCCAAAGTATAAGGCATAAAATTGGAAGCTCAAACAAATGTGGCAATAGCTTGGGAAAATGACTAAATTAAAAGGTACAATATCACAAATAGCTTCCGTAATCAAATACAATTCTCCTAATAATCAATATCACATTACCTTCTGGTGCAACTTTTTCAGAATCATTTGTATCATGTGTAAAATGTAAAATGTATGTTTCCAGAAACTTTATTGCTAGCAACTGTGGACCAACAGATCCAGCCTACAAGAAGATATCCAGGCAAAGCTTCGTGTCAGTTATGTAAGCATAACTCAGCAGCAGGAATCCATGCAAAAGTTTTGTTTAAAGTTGCATGCAAAATGTAACAGGAAAAAGATTCTATCTTGCACGTCTAAATCGAGGAAGAAAGAGGCATGGGTTGATTGAAAGAATGAGCATGCCGTCAAGGAAAACGAGAATAGAAGCGTGCACATAGAAAGAAGAATCAGAATTAAGCATACTAGTTGGATTTACCAACTTATCTTCAATCTATAAGACCAGATTCTAGTTCATAGCCTATAATATTTTTAGGACATTTACAGGTTAATCTTTCGTTTCCTACAACCATCACAATATTATGTACCCCTTTCTTTTAGGCCTAAGGAAATAAGAAGTGCAAGGCTGTCTCTAAGGAGAAAACGTCTAGTTGGGAAGCGCAATATTAATAGTGGGCATTAGGTGAAATGCCCAGCTAAATGCAACCGATATATGTGATGTGCAAGAGGAAGAAGACTCAAAATCAGGTAAATAGATTCTGCTACAACTGATGTATGTAATGTACAAGAGGTTGAGAGCGAAATAAAATCGTCTGCAAATCTTAAAAATAAAGGACAAAAAGTTCCAAACTATGCAACTAGTTCATTTTTAAGATGTCATTCCTCCATACAATTGTTGGTTCACCAAGCTACCTCACCGTTCAGGTACATTTAAAAATCTTTCATCATCTACACAATTAAGGGTTTGTTTGAGCACCATTTTTTTGGGAGAATAGATTTTGTAATAGCGATTTTTGGAGAATATATGATTAAAAAGTAGAAAAAACTTTGGGTTTACATATAATTGGAAGAAGGCGTGGTTGATAATGAGTTTTTAAAGAAGGGGCTAAGGTATTTCTATTGCTATTATATCATTGGAAAATTAATGCTTGTGAATTGGCTCATAAGAATGTCATCATTAATCTCTCCCAATAATGGTGTGCAATGTGTAGAAAAGGAAGTATTCAGAATGCATAGCTTGATTTTACTTTTGAAACTCTACGAGATGGCTATGGTGTAGACTACTTCAGATTGGGTAAAAAGGTTGTGGTCATGTGGAAAGTGCTAGTTTTGACCATCTCTTGAGTGATTTAAACAGAAAGAACTATAGGAATTTTGAAGGAAGAGAGAAAAATGTTACTGAGTTTTAGGTCTTATCATGCCTACGGATTTCTAAGGATAAAGGGTTCAAGGGAATTTCTTTCTCTTTAATAATCCAAAACTATATTGTATTGTTGACTTTATTTTGTTTTGATATTAGAGGATCCATATACTCTTAACAAGTTTAGTTACATGTTGAAATTATGCACGATAAAAAAATCACCTCCCCTTGTTCCCAGATCACCAAGTAATTAATGATACTCCCACCATTTCAAGTTGATCTTTTGGTTTCCTTGTCTGTCCCAACATATTTCTATAGAAAAAGTAAAATTAGATTCATATTATACGCCTCAACAAGTTAAACAGGGAGAAAAATTTGCAGCATAAATGCAAGAAACGACACCAATTTTTACCTCTAAGAAGAGGGTAAAGCCTAAAAACTAAGTAAAAAGTGTAATATCACCCCAGTATTTATTGAGATTTTTAGTTCCCGCAATAACTTAAACCAAAAAAATTGAGATCGACGTAGCAGTTTACTTGTTTCCCAAGCTCACCCCCAAGCACCACAAACACGCCTTTGACATGGCTAAATGTGATATTTCAATTGATGGAGAAGGGAAGTCGTTTTAGAATTTTTATTGTTTTGTCTTGGGTTTTGATTTAATATTATCTTAGGTTTAGTCAAATAAGAAAAGGTAGTGGCGGGCACAATTAAAACCCACTTAAATCTCACATTTTGAAATACAGATTCCAAAATAAAAAATAAAACAACCAAAATCTACAGCAAAAAATTAAATTTCTGGGAGTAAGCCTCACAAGCCTTGAGGTGTGCACCTCATTAAGGTGACCCCTGCCTCAATTCAATGGTATAAAACAAGCATCTCGAGGCACTGGTCCTCCACTTTACTGGCTCCTTTTTAAACCATGGTCGTATCTGACTAATTCTCAGGTTCTGAAGTATAGTCCAAATTTCTGATTTCAGATCGCTTTTAAAGGTTTAACTACCGCTTTATTCATTTTTCATCTTCATGGTAGACATCCTTGATTCAGGTAGCAAGTAGCACTAGCGTTAAACTCTTGTTTTGCAGTTACAACCAACGTAAGATTCTTTTGTTGTGGTATCATGTATTTAAGAGTTTCTTTCAATTATATGCAAGAAATACTATTCACCCTATTAAATATTTGGCACCCCGATACAAAGTGTCTAGCTCCACCACAGTACCATTATAAAGATGCACCCAAAAATATAACAAACAAGCACAGAAGAAAAAAACTCCATGCCAAAAGTTACGCATCAGGTAATACAAAGCCCCATGGTCAATGTCCCTGGCTTCATAAGACTATACCATAATCCAATTCAATAACAGTTAGTAATATATAAAGTTACAGTTAAGTACCGTTCATGGCCTATCACCCCAAATACATAATTATCTGGTTTATATGATCTGACCACCCGGTGTAGGCAATAAAAAATGCATTGCCAATATAAATAAAATATTTTGATATAGTATTTCTTGTTTTGAGTCGAAAAGAAGAATTTATTAGTTGAAAGAAGAGAAACCTTATTGTAAAGTATAAATAAGTAGCAAAAGAAAAGTTCATCAATCTCTAGAATGTTTATTCCTCTTTTTCAAAAATGGAAAATGGTTAAAAACAGCGTTCTTCAATTTCACACAAAATTCTCATGATCATGAATGTTGAGGGCCCCAAAATATGCTAAAACACACTACTAGTTGACAGGAAATGAATTGTGATTGTAATCATTCAATGGCATCACAAAATCAAGGCACACAGTAAAACTACATCCATCAGCATCTTAGACGCACCTCAAAGATAATGCTGAAAACAGCATCCTTGTACTTGACCATCCACATCCACAGCTCTTCAAGCCACCTCTCAACTATACCACGCCGTTGAAACTATACTTTTCAAATATAGTTCAAAGTTTCACATGTATACAGAGGACGGTGAAACTGGAAATTTTGCATACAATAACAGTAAAGGAAGACAAACAAAAAAATACGGATTCTATAAATGAGACTTGTTCAAATCTTATAGAAAGCTTCGTAACCATGGAATATGCAGAGTCATCACTATAAAGCAATTCTCTCAAAACTCATCACAGAAAAGTGGAACAAGAGGAATACAGAGTTCAAATTTCTGCAACTTTAGAAGGCAACGTCATTGTAGGAACCTTTTATTACTTAACAAGACATATGGGCTTGGCATTGAGATGAGACAGAATGCAGAAAAAACGTGATCACAGAAACTACAAAGAAAAGGAAGCAGAAGATGATAATCTGGAATCGAATGCAATAAAACATTTCACGTGGTTTCATTTTAATAGGAAGCAGACAAAAGAGACATATGGACATACAATCTAACTATGCACAACAGATAAGATAGAAAGAGACCTGCAATGGTAAGTCTTCCAACACGCTACAAAAGATTTTTGTGCCAGTGATAATAGATTGCTTTGCAACCATGGAATTATTATCTTTTAAGAACGTCAACAAGATAGGCCACAATATGGATAAATGCTCCATACTTTTCGCTCCAATCTCATCAATTACTCTGCCAAACACACTCGATGAAATTAGAAGGAAGCAACATAACCTCATTACATGGCAAGACAGTGTTGGACTACATAAAATATCAAGCAATGCAATACAGCATATTAATATACATGCAGCGATTTCTAAAGCCAGAGATAATCAGATAATTTTGCACTGCCAAAACGATTTTGAGAGAAACTAATTAATGTAATTCTTATGCAAATATAATGTACTCTTTCTTTCAATAGTTCAAATAGTTAACCTTGTACCACTTACAAACTTAGAGTTTATACTGCAAAGACGACAAACGGTAGCATCAGCATCAACATCTCCCAGACGAAGTATTTAATAATTTGAGAGGTGAAACTACATAGACAAGGAAAGACTGTAAGCATCTGAACCCAACATCACCTGGCTTACCTGATATCTGCCTTATTGAGCCTGGAAGCTTGTCAATAAGCATGTGAAGTCAAAATGGTGTTCTTATAGAAATAAAACAACTAAATCAAGGAGAGCTAGAACTTCCATGCAAGACAATCTCCCATTTCAAGTTAAAACTTACCTACCTATGGAGCATTAGGAATATTTCCTGATGCATATCATGCATTGTTTAACAAAATTACTGAACACTTATCAATACAATATATGTAAGTCCACAATTAAGCGAAAAAAAACTGACATTATCAACAAAGGGATAATCGTTAAAAAATTTGCAATACCAGATTATTATGAATAAACTACTGCTGGGCTAGAATGACAATAAAACGTCAACATCTCCGTCCTCTAGACAGTATGTCAAAGTCAGGGAATGAAATCACAACTCTAAAATTGAATAAAAATGCCTTGGTAGAGATAAGACTGCCTCAATAATTAGACCTTCTTTGGGTGGAGAACATTTTTTCCCTCCTTTGTTTGATAGGTTTCTTTAGGATAGGAGATTGTTATTTGAAGTTCATGCCATTCGGTTGCAAGTTACAAGGCATCATCTCAAGTCACTCAAAATTTTTTAAGACTTCTTATGAACTTCGAAACAGGCACAAACCAACACACTCTTATCACATACTGCGGAACAATTTATGTCACTTCCTTCCTTTTCTTTTATTTTTTATGGGAGGGGAGCACACAAGGTTATCATGGTCTAACTAAATTAAGCACTAAAAAATAAAACCTCTTATCCAATTGAAATAATCATTCAGTAGAAAAATCACAACGAAGGTTCAATCTTTTTGTTCATTCAACAATTATAAGATTTTGTTCACAAAAAGCAGAAGGCATTCCTTTAATTTCACATGAAGTTCACCTCTACAGTCTGTCTAAAAAAGAAACTATTTTATTGGTCAAAAAATCATGAAAAGTGAGACAAGAACAATTTAAGTAATTTCTTAATTCCCCCGCCTAAATTAAGAAAGAAATCATGTTTAATGCATTAACCAAAAGAATCACAAAATTAAATAAAATATCAGTGAAAAACAATGAATTCACAAAACTACCAAAACCGAATATTATTCTCTATTTGGAGTAACAATAACTTACTCAAGGAGGTATTTACGCACGAGCGTTTCCGGGGAAGACTGAAGCTCAACCAAGTACGGAAAGAGCTCTGCGGCGTGAGAAGGCTCCGCAGATAACAGTATGTCCTTGACTTGCTTCAAGGACGACAGCTTTACGGCCAAATCCCCATGGTTGTTCGCCAAAGCGAGGAGAGGGAGCGCCTGCTCCTGCGCCGGCCCAGCCATGGAATAATTGAGGACTCGAGGGGGGAGAAGAGAAGATTTTTCGAATTGATTAATTGGGGAGGGATGACCGCCTGTTCGTAGAGATTCTGATTTTCTACTCTAAATTAAGAGTCTTGCTACACTCACAGCTGGGAGGACAACCCTCTCACATTCAAGGGGTGGGACCTACAATTAAAATATTCAAACACAAAGCGGGACCCGCCGCTTTGTGAGGGGGCTGTAGCCCGAGCTGTGAAGCTCGGGCTGTACAAACAACCTTATTCATAAATTAATTCTCATTTTCAATCGCACATTGTTCAATAAAATAATATTTTTCATCACATTAATACTTTTTTTTTTCAACCACACATTTCCCATTATATCACTATTCAAAAATCAATTATTCCCCCATAAATCCCTACCAAACACACTCTCAGATTATAAAACGATAGTGATAAAAAATTGAAAATCGTGTAACCGCGAATGGGAAGAAAATAGTTGAATCCCATAAGCAATATTGGTCTAGTCGGGTTATTTGGTCTAGTCCACTCACGGACAATATTGGGCTTCTTGGGGGTACATTTGATAAAGGGAAATTACAAAAAAATCAAGTGTTTAAAAAATGATTTTCAAAAATCAGGTTTAAAATTTCCATCAGATAAATCTAAAACTCCAGAGTATATCTTCCCCCGGGTCAAAGCAAAAAAGATACTTCGAATATTTTTCTATTGAGTTGAATCTCTTAGAAAGAGAGAATTTCCTATTTTTTTCCTTAAAAAAAAAAAAGAATTTGACGATCTGATTCTGGAGGAGAATACATGTCCACGGAATTTTATCAATATCTTATTTCCAGAGGCACTGTTCATCAGAGATCTTGTGCGTATACTCCTGGAATAGCTAAGAGGAAAAATAGATACTTATTGGAAACGATTAGAGCTATGATATTTGGGATGAATGTACCTCGTTTGGGCAGAAGCTGTGTTGACCGCAACATAATTGATCAATCGCATACCGTATAAGTTATTTCTGGAAGCATCCCTGATTACTCTCATTTAAAAGTATTTGGCTGCTGCTGTTCATATTCTCTTTTTTTGAGTTTCTTTAAAGAAAGGAAAGGAAACTCACGAAAGAAAGCGAGCTCAACGAAACAAACGAAGCGAGCAGCAGGAGAAGATCGGTAATAGAAGGTAACGAACTAGAGACTGAGAAAGAGATCAGAAGCAAAACTCGGCAAGGAGAAGGCTGAACCCAGGTGCTACACTAAAATAGGCTTTACCTGGGGCCGCACGACTCTCTACCCGTGCGCGTGCCTATTTCGCTTTAGGAGGTATCAGAGCGGAGTTTTGGGTTTTTCCCTTTCGATTTCTGCTAATTCTCTTCTTGTTGTACCATGTCCAAGCTTGACGATAGCAGTGGAGTGCTGTCTGCGGCGGCTGTTGTTAAGGAAACACTCAAGGATCGAGTGACCCAACTTGATGGCAAGGTCGACCATTTGGACGGACAAGTGTAGACTATGGCAGAAAGGCAGGAGAATCAGGAATCGTTGGTCACCAGACGCTCGAAAATGAGTACCGCGTCTTCCCAGTGAAGGAGAGCCGTCTTCATGGGGCCTCAACGATCCCGGTGGCGATGGCCAAAGCGTGACGGACCGGGTCAAATTGAGGAGCTTGCTGTGGAGATAGGTTTCCGGTTCGTGAACCGAATGTCTCACCTGGCGACTCCAGACGCATTTGAGCCCCGGAACCACAGCCATTCAACGGGATTCAAAATGCCAAGGCTCGAAGACCTCTGGGACATGGAACAGTACTTGAAGGCTGTTCGTGCCCCTTTTGACGACCAAGTCACAATGGCAACAATGTATCTCTCTGGGGATGCGAAGAATATTTGAAACGACTCTCGAACCATCACACGGATTCCGACCCAACTACCCGTAAGAACAGAATGGAAGGGCAAAAAAGGATTCTATGCGCAGACGTGAAAGCTCTATCAATAGAAGCATTCTAGCCTATTTTTTTTTATAGAGGAACGATTCCCTCGTCTGAGAACCGCCATTCATGTACTATTCCTCCCCACTAAAAAGAGCGATTGAGAATCTCGAGAACCTAAACAAAAATGAAGAAGTGAGCGTACCCCAAGGCTCTCCTCTCTCCCCCCTTTTTAGCTAACCACCATCAACCCCATTTTTCACCTTGAATTGGTCAAAGCCAAAAATATGATGAATAGAAGGAAAGGAGATCAGAAAGATACGCGAACGACTTGACTATAGTATAGGTCGGATGTTTTCGTGAGCAGTAAGCAGCAGATCTCCCCTTATTTTGGGAAAGCTGGCGGCCGCGTGTGAATTCTTTCAAGGCAAGGGGCGGCCTGATTCGACATTGTTGTTTACTCTGATCCGGTCGAGGTGGTTTTCGTTTACCAGCACGTAGGTGGTCTAAATTCCTATGACCGAGTCTTTCTGGCCCCTGTGAACATCTTTTCTTAATGTATTAAAGAGGGCCTCTCTAACCGTGAAAAGTGGTGGGTGTCCACTAACGGCCATTCCTGGCTCGGCTCCGATAACGCAATTCCGGGAGGAGTCGGTAGTTGGGCACTGGATCCCTTCGGACCTGGAGAACGCGTGACGCTGGGTCGGAGTTTGGTGAACCAACTGGTCGCTCCTCTAGTTGAAGTATCGGGCCCCTTTTTCGTTGCCTAGGTTACACCTTCGGAATACCCCAGAAGGGAATTTTCTCTACTCCCCCAATCTTCACTTTACGCCACGCCGACTCCACTTTCGTCATAAGGCGTGGAATTAGACCAAGGGGAATCTCTATAGGAACTAGTCTCTTAGATTTCGCACATAGGAGATCGAGACACAGCCCCAGGGCTATGGGGAAAGATGTAGATCGATCGCCCTAGATAGACAACTACATAGAGGGTCTCTACAAGTCTATATATTCTTTGATTTCGTTCCCCCCGTAAGATCAATATCACAACCAATGAGGTCTGCAAGTTTCACATCTAAGTAATACCCGATCCGATAGTTTACGATATAGATAGATATATATTTAACAACAATATTCTAAGAAAAGATATAAATAGATATCGGCAGTTGTCCGGTCGTACCCAAACAATAATATTCCAGAGGAAAATGCACCTAAGATCAAATATTTCGAGCCGGCTTCCGTGGAAAATTCAGACTTTCTTTTTGATGCTGCGATCACATAAAAACATAAACTTTGAGGCTCAATAGCTAAATACATGGCAATTGAATCATAAGCCGAGATCATAAAGAGCATACTGCGAGTAGGAAGTGGAATTAATACAATGAATTCAAAAGCATCAAACCTCTCTTGTTCGGAAGAATCGAAACACATCGAAATGGTACCAGCCGTACTTAATAATAGAAGGATTTGGCAGAAATATGTAAAATTGTCCCTCCTAAAAAGATTATTCCAAAATAAATGGGCAATAGTTAGGAGAGGTGCGCCAGCGGCGAGCAGAAGCAAGGTTATTAGATACCTCAGGAAAGCCCGGCCAGAACCACACGTGCAAGTTTCCCTGCATGTGGCTCGTCCGTGATAACTTCTTCGGATTTGCGTGAACTATCGGATCGATCACTAAGTGGGGATGCTCCCTCCAGCATGAGCGAACCCTTTCGGAACGGGTTAAGAATGGGCGCCACTATCCCAGCCCGGATCCAGCCAGGTTCTATTGATCATGTCCTCTTCCCAACAGTTTGACCTTGTCTTGGGGCGTCTTTGGCTTTACGAGAGAAAGCTCGCCGGAGAAAAAAGTCTTTCTCTTCCCGTCTCGGGTCATACTCCGGTGCGTCCACAGAAGAGGAAATCGAAATGCATCTTGCTCAGCAGGCGTAGCTTGGAGTGAGAGTGTAGCGGGGGTAAGGTAAGGAAAGTGGCCGCCAGAGAGGAAGCAAAACCGGCCGCGTAAGCGCAGCTAAGCTAATATGCACCGGAGAAAGCCAGGTGCCGTAGGTAAGCTCTATTCGGTCCGGAGCATTGATTCCCTATAACGAATAGGCTAGCTCTATCTCTCAATTACCTATCCTGTGCTCGAGAAGGTCCCTCAGTTCCTCGGCAGCACCTCGAGGTACATTTAGTTGTCTTACATGAGACTCGGGATATTCCCCACTACATGGCATGACACCTTTCGCTCATCCATTCCGCCCGCCCGTCCAGACGCGGTGCCTTTTCTCATTATCATCTACCGCCCTTTCTTTCCTCCCTCACGCATGAAGATTGTCGTATGTATGCTCGACTTCGGTTGCCGGTGTATAGGTAGGAGTACATTATGGCAGGATCAGTCACCCGGGCAAACAACCCTCCTCCAAGAAGAATTGTGCTATGCCCCCCCGATCCCTATAGAGCGAAAGAGCTGCCTGGTGATCCCTAGGTTGCAGCACGTCCGGTCGTTAACTCCTCGCGCCGCTGCCGCCGTTTCTAGGACCGACCGACGCCTCACCTGCACAGGTACCTACGTAGTGTAGTGTCGGTCGCACATTCAACATAGCGTTCGGACTCATGTGCCTTCCAGAACCAGGGGTCTTCGAGCCTGCTGCGTACGATTAGCCAGCCTTGCGGCGGCAAAAGGATTAGACGTCCCCCCATGCTACGGTTCCCTGCGGTCCAAACCCGGTGCCGCATTAGGTTAGGGAGCTGGACGATAATTGCTCCTCCGCATCCCAAAGCGCGCTGCCCTCCTAGGCGCGCAACACTAAGTAATCCAAGCCAACCCACATTACTTACTAACGGTGGATAATCATATTTCTTAGAGGTACTAAATACAACTCCATGAATGAGCAAAATGAAGGTTGCATTAATGATAAAGATCTCTGGGGAAACCGCTAAAAAAAGATTGAACATGTGGGAGGATCCGAACTAATTCTGCTTTCATTTCCCCTGTATGGAGCACTGAGTTACTTACGTTACGGTCTTCAGCAGGTAGGCTGCACTCTAGGCGGCTAGGAAGGCTCACTAGACCAGCAGCCAGACCAAGAATGAATGTGTAATGATGGTGATTCCACACCGGGCTCAATAAATAATTGAATGTAGAAAGGGGATCCTAAACTAAAAAGGAGTCAATGACCCCGGGGAGGTCGAATTCCAAACCCTTTTTCTCGAACCAAAAAATGGACGTCACTTTGGGACACATGCGGATAGCCGCCCCGCGTGGCTAAAAGTAAGCCAAAAGAGCTCAAACTCTTTTTTTTTTTTAGTTCCACTGAGAAAGTGGAGTCTTATAAAAGACGCCACTCTACGAGGGAACCCGGGTCGAGTCTTTGCGAGTTCATCCCAAACAAAGCGAACCCCTTCCGGTCGGGAAGATGCAGATAAAAGGCCAATAGCCTGATGTCCGCTTCTACGGCATAAGCTTTAAAGAAGAGAGCTATCAACGCTAATATAATAATTTCATAAGAAAAGAGAAATTTATTGTTTAAATTGAAATAGGTGAAATTTCAATTTTGAACAGTCATTTCAATCTTTTTCTTCCAAATCCAGAAAAATCCGTCAATAAATGACGAACTCCATTATACAGATGGTAGGACAGGGCTAAGGCAGTAATCTCGACGGAGATTAGGATGAGCTTTGATGAATAAAAGAAGAATTGGTAGACATTTTCATAGGTCAAGCAAATCAAACCTATTTTCAGACAAATAAGATAAAAAAACAAAACGATAGTGGCTAGGAAAGCTCCGGAGATTCTATGGTAAATTGGAAACGTCGAAGTGAGCTGTGGCTTATAAATAGGAAGATGAGGAGATAACGGTCGAAGGATATTCATATTAGGTTGGATTTTTGTTCATTCGCTCTGCTCGAGCGGCATACCGAAAAAAAGCAAAAAAGAACATAACCTCCGATACGATAAAAAGAATAAAACCATATCGAGGTCCTAATTGTACGATTGAAAATTCAACTGCGCCAAGAGAGGCTACATCAGGATTTTATGATCCAGTCCATTCTATGCAAATCTTTGTCGCAACCGACAAATAATCCACAAAATGTAGACTGTTCGGATCCATTAAGGTGTCATAGACAAAAGAGGGTTCAACACCTTCTCCGATTCGATTGACCACTTCCTGCCCCAATTCCTTCCAGGTATGTGAATTAGGGGGGATGTCCTTGCTCAAAAAGATCCAGTGGGTTTTCAGAACTTGGCCCACTTTATCTTCAAGCACTTCCCTGGAATCCCCCGGTTCCAGTTGGGGAATGCCCGTTGGTTTTAAGTAGTCAAGTAAAGTATGTTCTCGGGAAGATGGTTCAAAAGAAGACGCTTCTGGCGTCTTACAATCGAAACAATAAAATAATTTTTTCATGAGTCATTTTACTAATAATTCCTAAAGGACGACCACAAAAGGAATCAATCGCGCATCCGCGCGTGTGGCGCCCTTATTTCGTTTATCATTTTAGCCCAAATCCAAACAATACTGTGGATTGGACAGAAGAATAGATTTTCGAGGCGTTTCCCCGAAAAAAATATGGGATGGGTGGGAGATGGGAATTGAGATGGCATTTAATAATCATCTATCGTAGGAGCTCTCACTCAGCCTGTCAGCTCAACCAGCAGCCGCTGCTGTGCTTTAGTGCATTAGTTTAGTGCCGTCGATTACTGAATTGACTGCTTGACTTTACTGCATTACCGGACCCGTCTTACCTTTCCTTTCTTGCCAATGCCCGGAAGAATTGGACAAATAGACCTTGATTGATAAGGGCAGATATTGAATTACCGGAACTCCCATTTTATTCTGCCTCGATTGAACATTAGTAAGGGAAGGAGTTTGGCACCTATGAGGTTCGTAGCCTTGCTTTTAAAGTAGCAGGAGTCCCTAACACTATCAATTTCATAAGAAAAGAAAGAATGAGGCATGAATCGAGGCCTTCCCGGCTGGCCTTTCTTGTCTTTCGCGGATCACCGGTGACGGCTGACGCCGCGGCAGGATCACAACGAGCTGGCGCTCCATAAACAAATTCCTTAGCAAATGAATACGCCCTATACTCCCAGCAATCAGCATATTGGCCCGGGCCGATGCTTCTATTCTAACAGCAATCTCGTTTTCTTAGGGTTATGGTTTGACTATGTTGAAATGGACTTCCCCTCCCCTTCTCGTAGTTAGGACTTGATCTTACACCATCCGGTGACCGGCTTCGCGAGACCATTTCGGTCTACACATGGCTAAGCTCTATTGGGCGGTGGCTTATCGAAGCAAATCCCGCACAAAAAAAGATCAGCAATAAACAAAAATCTATCTTCAAAGAGAAGGCAATTGACTCTATCAAGAACAAGAAGGTATGGAACTTCTCGACGCACTGTTCGAACCCGCAAGCACCTTTCATCTACCCTACGCTAACAGCTCTCTTCTCTTATGATATTGCATCCGCCTTCGATTATTCAATTTCGAGTTAGCGCTCCGGGGGCTACTCCTACTGCAACTGCTTTCTTTAGGAAATGCCGACATCTACTCGAAATGGCTTGACATTCCAGAACAGAAACTTCACTCATATTGTTTTAATGCCCGAAGTCTGCTTTGCTGCATCTGAGATTACATCACCTCTTAAGAGTTAAAAGTCCCTTCTTGCCTGACGAGTTCTTCCTTCTTTTCTTGCTTTGCTACCGTCTGTGGCATTTGTCCTGCAAACAAGCCCTTCTCTTCCTTGACTAGCAGCAGCTCCCGCTAAAGCAGTTGCAGCTTACACTAGCTAGGCGAACTCCCGCTCTGATCCAGCTACCCCTCTTGCCGCTCGGCATTCCGTTTTTTGTGGGATAATTGCTGCAACCCCTTCTCTTTAATAGCAACCGATTCTAGCAGCTTATTCTTGCCAAGATGAGGTTGGGATTAACAATGTCTTGGTTGGAGCTATGGGGTATGCCTATATCTTTCTTTATATACGGCAATTCCGCGCTAAAGCCCTTTCTTAAGGCAGTTCAGTTGCTTTGAGATGAGCCCACAATGCCAATGGTGAAGGAGCTCTCTGTCTTTCTGGGATCAGTACTGCTTTATTAAAGACTCTCGAAAGCGAGTTTCCCATTCGGGTGGGTAGAACTCCTACCCACCTTCTTTTATACGTTGACGACAACATTCTCACCGGATCAACTCACGACGAGGACTACCCATGCCATCCGGGCTGAAGCGCTTCCCTTGCCCCGGGCTCACACACATGAAAATTCATAATGTTGGTTTTGATTGCCCAGGCATTGGGAAGGGATGCGGGAACAGGAGAAAAAGACGAGAATAGGGGCGAGAACAAGGGCAAGCCGACCACTATTTCTCCATTCAAGGCTATTTGGCAGAAGGAGCGTCATCACAGGACAAACCAATCCTTTCGACAAATTATCTTCCTTCGCAAGTCGACCGGAGGGATTCATCCATTCATGCAGTCAGTAGTCAAATGGTCCCTCTATCTAATGAATCAATGGCCGCCGATTCGGTTCAATGCTCTTTAGTGCCTTCGTGATATCTAAGGAGAGAGGAGAACACACTATAGCTTAACTACTTGCCTTTAACGACTAGAGTTTCGATCGAGCTAAAACCTTTATTTGTTGGTTGGCTACACTATTGGAAGAGAGGGGCTCAAATACTCAGATTCATTTTAATCTGGTTGGGTGAACATCCATCTCTCTATCCTTTTCCCGTGTCTTGGTCTAGTGGTCATTCCTCGCCCTCGATCACAAACTATCAATTTCATAAGAGAAGAAAGCGTAGAAAAGAAAGGTTTTGATTCGAGGTTCGCTAGATCTTTGCCTGAGTAAACAAATAAAAAAAATGCTCTCTCCTCTTCCTTTACTTCCTTCTCCAAGAAGCGAACCGTAAAAAGAGTCTTGTATAGGCTGGGTAAAAAAAGCCTCCAACCCGCCGCGCTTACTCACTAAGTTCAGTCTCAAGCTACTAGACGGCCAAATATACCTTCTTAATGCTTTTACCCCGTTTATGTTTCTTAGGACATTCAAAAAATAAAGGAAATAGAAGTTACCTAGGGCAAAGCTTAGACTCTTCTGTGATGATTCCTCTTTTCCAATAGTAAAGAAAAAAGAACCTTAGATGGAATACCCTTCGAGTTAGCATTAGGAAAAGGCTTCAAAACCTACCAAGGCATACGATCTACTATACTTCTTTTCTTTGGGTCCACTAAAATAGAGGAGATCCACTTTTCACTTCTATTCAAGGAAGACCTTTTAATTCCATAAGTATCCGTCTTGTATAATAGAAATAGTAGGAAAAGGAGAAGCTTATGAACTTGATTTCCCCTAGAGGAGAAGGTCAAGAAAAACCACTCTACTTCCACTCCTGCGGACTCCACTTACACTCGTGGGGAAGGGGCAGAAAACTCGGAGTACATTAGAATACTTTCTTGGGACTTTAGAAGACAGTACAGGCATATCATTCTATCCATCTATCCATACAGGGCAGGGCAGATTTCGCTTTCATCTATCTATAAATGCTATTTTTTTCTAGCTAAGCTATTTGTTTGTTGCGCTGAGCGATGCAGCTTCGTTCATCTTATAATAAAAAAGAGTTGCCTAGCATCCATTCGACCACGTTATGGTGCTTTTTCCTTTTTATATAATTTATAGAAATAGGCTCCCAGTGCAAACTGAGATCTTGGAGCTAAGATGCGTTTTTCTGGCATTTTTCCTTACGGGTTTTTTTGATGGAACTGAGGCTGCCCCTCCAGAGAAAGTTGAACGATCCACAGCAGGTGACGAAAGTCTCTTATCTCTTTTGTTCCTAATCCGGCATGGTTACGGAAGGATCAAATGGTTGTGTCGTGGCTAAATACCACCCTTTCTGAAGAGATTCTTGCCAAGATCATTGATCTCCCTTCAGCGCATGCCATATGAACATATCTGAGGAATGCCTTTTTTTGGAAGAAGTAGAGCAAGAACTAAAAGTCGAATTACTTATGTGCAAGAGAGGTACATCTTCCATAACCGACTACTTGAATCGTTTCAAAGCTATTTGTGAGTTGTTGGCTGCTATTCAGAAATCTCTTTTAGATGATGATAAAGTAATGTATATCTTGGACGGACTGGATATGGTCTTTGTCACTTCGGTGTCTATGAGGGTTCCCTTTCCCCCATTCAGTGAACTTCGGTCGCTCCTGATGGCTGCCCGTTACAAGCCTATACCCGCCTCTTCCACTCCTCTGGCTACTGATTATGTCTTAGTCAGTCAGGTTCAGCAAACCACATCTGATAATCGAGGACGGGGCAGAACGGCGTCAGGGCTCCGGTGATATTCTCGTTCTCGGTGCGAAGCCCTCTGATTCTGTGATTTGTCAGGGGACATCTTTGCCACACACCTGAGCAATCCAATTTTATCATCGGTTGAATCTCTCGTATCAGGACGATCCTCTTGCACATCAGGTTTCAGCCATGTCGCTGAACTCTCCAGCAGATCCAAAGTGCTATCTCGATACAGAGGCCACAAACCACATGACTGCCGATGCCGAGGCCTGAACCTTCTCCTCGTCTTATACAGGTAATGCCAGGGCAGGTTTTCACTTTCCACTGGTTCTTGAAATCTCTCTTTTCGGGCACTGGGCTTTAGTCACTAGGTCCACAACTGATAGTCCTATGATGTCCCAGTATTTTTGAAACTCTTGATACGAAAGAAATTGCTTTGTTTTTCTCTCCTTTCCTATCAGCGAGTTCCGAGCCACTTTCTTTTGTATGCTACATTAACCGGTTCCTGTTTGGCATAGGGTTCTTTATCTTTTTTCTTCCGCTACATTCCTATCACAGTTCTAGTTTAGTTTTAGTTAGATCGAATGGCCTTAAGTAGTTGCAACATTTGCTTTGGATTCAAAGCTCATGATGTTCATATCGAATCTCTCTCTATTCTTGCACATAAATGAACGTTCTCTTCTGAGTTGGAGGCAACTTTTCAAAAACCACTTTGTAGAGGGCGGGTATCACGCTCAATAGAATTCAAAAAGTTTGTAAAATCGAAAAATGGAATTTGTATTAGATGCTGCTTGAACATTGTAAGACATGGAGCGCGTTTTAGTTGCTTCCCATTGATGAATGGATTTCTTATCTCATGTCTGCTTTTCGTGCTTTCTTTCGTTTTTTTATTCAATTCGTGCTCAAGAATGCCTCTGTTCTCTACTAACAGCTTTTTTTGGGGGAAAAGGTAAGCTTTTCTAATTCTAATTTCTAATATAAACAAGGCAAAAAAGATTTACACACGAGGGGTTTTAGAACCGTGCATCCTCCTCAACAATTTTTAGGAGGCATCTCGGGATCTCATGACAAAAGTCAGTGTGCTCTCCTATACAGTTTTGCATTCCGGCTAGACAATCAGCTACTCTATTTGCCTGCCTATATACAAAAACAAAAGTAAGATTCAAAAATCTATGAGCAAGTGCTTTTATATCCAAAAAAAACCAGATTGATCTCCACGGGCAAGACTTCACTCCTGTAATGCAATCCACTGCAAGCCTCGAGTCGGATTGAATAATTATTTGTTGCAGACCTAGCTCATGGGCCATCTCAAGTCCTTTCTTAATAGCCATTAACTCATGGAAAAGTACTGAGATGCCATGGTTAATTCGATTTCTCCTGTAGCACATTCATAAAATTCTTTCTTAGTACATAACCAGAGACTCCAAGTCTATTTCTCAACGAGCCGTCACAGTTTACAGCAACAGTACCCAAAGGAGGAGGTTCCCACTTGTGATAGGTTACTGCTGGAATCTTTAATTCAGCTCGAATACGACCAACTAAATCATTTCCCCTGAAGTGAGCACAAAACCAATGTTTGGCCTGTCCCCAGTTAAGCACCCTCGGGAATTTCAGCCTGTTCTTCCCTAAGATATGCACCCAAATACGCTGACTATATTCACAATCAACAAATAAGTGGTGAATTGTTTCAACCTGCGCATCTTGGCATAGAACACAATGATCAAGATGGAGAACCCCGTGTCTGGCTAGATGATCCCCGGTGTTGATAGCATTTCTTAGAGCTAGCCAAAAAATGAAGGCATGTCTAGGAGTAGCTTCTTTGAACCAAATAAGCCGTGCCCAATGAACCTTGGGGAGTTTAGTCCTAATGGACTCCCAGGCAGTTTTTTTTTGGTGGAGAACTTTCCACAAGAGGTGGCAGCCCAAATAATTCGGTCATTCTGCCTGCTGAAGATTCTAGAAACAGAAGGAAGTTCAGCCCATATTTCTTGAAGTGCCGGGGAGTTGAAATCTGGGGGTCGCCAATTGTATCCATCCATTATGTCCAAAACTCGCATCATTTTCATGTTTGGAGGAATAGTTCAATCTGGTAGTAGATTCCATAAAACATCGCGATAAAGCCAAGGGTCAAGCCAGAGATGAGATGAGCCTTTATCAATATCAATAAGGTGCCTAATATTCCCAATGGACTTTCTCTTACTTTCACGAATGGATCGCAGAGCCCACGAACATGAGGAGGGGATTTTTGGCGTAATTCTGCTTCCTCAATGCTGAGAGTGTGATTTAATAAGTCAAGAAGATCCTTTTTTTCCATGCTCTGTAAACGCAAATCACTAGGATCTTTGTCAAGCTCTGTTTGCACCAAAGAGAATCTGCCTCTGATTTCCTCAAGTTTAATGGCAGTGACCCCATAGGTTTGCTTGCTCCAAGTTTTGAGTCGTGCCTTTAGCCTTTTTTTTTTTAGCTTCTGAATTAAAATGAACATAGGGTTCCCTTTAATTGCACAATTCCATTCTTTTCGAACTATATCCAAAAAGGTAGGGTGATCCACCCAGTGGTTATAAAACTTGAAGGGCTTCGGGGCCTTAGGCAATGGTTTGTCAAGGCTGATAATAATAGGAGAGTGGTCAGAGATGCCTTGTGCTTGGAAAGTAGGATTAGAGTTCTGAAAAGATTGGTACCACTCTTGATTCACAAGTACTCTATCAAGCTTACAACTGATCCGAGCATCCCCATCCTGTCGGTTAGTCCAAGAGTGGGTTATACCACTTCATTTTAGCTCAAAAAGACCTGCAAGCTCAACACAATCAGCAAAGTCTTGAAAGGCACTAGGGTGAACTAGTTTTTCACCTTTTTTCTCCTCTGTGTGTAAAAGCAGAATTGAAATCGCCAGCCACAACCCATGGTCGATCAATGTTATCATTTAGAGAGACGAGATCGTGCCATAGCTTTTTTCTTTGCCGCTCCTTGTTAAATGCATAAATGAAAGTAGCCAAGAAGATTGTTCCCTCATTCAGGACAGATGGAAGCGGGTTATGGATCTGTTCAAGTTGGTCGATCAATCCTTCCTTTCTTTCTCCTGCCTCCGGACACCTTAGAATAGATTTGATTGGAAGGAGGGTGAGGAACGAAGACAGTGGTTTGACTGCTGGGATCCCAATCGGCCTGCATCACCGGAAAATGGAACTATCAAATCACGGATGACTCGCTTTATCGGGATGGGAGGAATTGCAACATCGGCATTTCTTTCCTTCCCTAAATCGATTCACTAGTAGGTAGCGGTAGGAGAGATCCATTATGGTGGTATGGACCGTTCTCGAATTCCGGCCGGCCTGATCAGTATGGAGCCGAAGGCGAGGGTTTCCAGCAGACCCCCTTCTCTTGTTTTCCCTTTAAGTGACAAGGGGGGTGAGCCGCTCCAAGCCGAAAGCGATAGCGAATCCCGAACTTGCCTACGCTCATCCAAACCGGCCTCAAAAAGCGATCGGAAAGCGAAGCCCTTCCTTCCAATCCAAGCCGGCGAAGCCGCCTATTTCTTAGGGCAAAGGGCGCTCCATCCTCCTAACTCCTTCCACTTCTCCCAGGGACTACGGCTTGATCTTCGGGGAAGAAGTCCGTGGGACCCCTCCTTCTAGGGCGCCTAGATAGTGAAAGGTTATCCCTTTGCAACGCTGGAAGCTAAGCAAAGTCACGAAGCTGGCTGACTACGCTCGAGCAAAGCTCAGGCCCTGAGGTGGTGGCTAAACTCGCCGCAGAGTTCAGGAGCGAGCAAGACTATCTTGGTGAATGCAATAAGAACCGGCTGCTCGCTGCAGCAGAGTGCTTTGCCCAGTGGAGAAGGAAGCCAAATTGGGTATATATCCAGGTATGCTTCTAGATAAGGAACTGAACCTCACCCCATAAACTGAATCCCTATCATGAGCGCGAGCATAATCAACTGGATCTACTGGGTCTATTGTACAGGGAAAGCCATCACTTGTCTCTAGCTCTTGATATGGAAGGTATATTACTACCACTTCTACCGCTTCTGGATCAACAACTGACTCAACCGTATCTACTAGTTCAGTACCAGTCCTTTCTTTATTGTAAAAAAAAGGCTATGCCGGTACTGATGCTACCACTGGTGCTTTGCCTCCTCCACTACTGGAGGTACCCTGGATAAGCTACTGAAGCCGCTACTCGTGCTAGTTAATCCATAATGAAGGTACGAGTGCTAAAGAATCTGCCGCTAGCTCTACTAATGATGCTATAGGTTACGGATCTAGTACAATATGTCGCTACCCCTATTACGTAAGGGCTTTGCAGCCAGCTCCGAAAACGGGTTCCAAACCTGCGCACCTTTACTTTGACTAAAAATATGAATAGTTGGCGCTTATTTCTCAAAGTAAAGAAACCTTTCAAGCCAAGCCTCCATTTGAGCGGCCTTACCCTCTTCCTAGGGGGCTGTAACTTGCTGTACCTTTTGGGGGTCTTCGTTTGCAGCTTCGCTTGCTCTTTGGCTTGGCGCGCTACTATGCCGGAACTTTCCGGGTCCCGTCTTTAGCCTTACCAGAAAAGACACTTCCATCTTGTCGTTCAGCCCCCCTTTGTTCATTAGCTTAAATCCGGCGTTCATGTTGCCGCGGATTTCTTTCATTTAAGGAAAATTCCAATTCTCCTTCTTCGGTTTGTGCCTGGCTTTGCCCTGAGGACATTAAAGAATTCAAAGAAAGCTAACTAACTTCGCTTGCCCAGTTCCGGCAATATATATTAAGGATTGGACTTCTGCTTCTTCCGCTTCTGTCTTTGAATCTGCTTATGTTACTTCCATGTTACCGTACTTCGGATTCAGGATTGGCAGAAAGAGTAGCAGTGGCTGATGAAAAACGTGATCTTGCAGGGGGTGCGAACTCGTAGCTAACGTCGTTGGTTATCTAAATCTCTCCCAAAAAAAACTGCATGAAATTGATTTAGCCCTTATACGTCTTTTCATTCTTCAGAGCCTACTCTTGCTGGAGTTGTGGCTGGGTCAGATTCCATAACCTCTGCTAATCTCCGAGCTGCCTTTCCTTCGGCTTGTAACAAACGCTCTCAGAGGCCATTATTTGATCGTTTACGGCCTGTTTCGGCTATTTGATGGACGAATGCCCTATTGGAGCCGTTTCCGGGCCTGACTTCTTAGTCAGATTAAAAGGTGGGGTTTTCCCTGAGTCGCCTATAGTAAGGAGCTATGAAGCCCTTCCCTTCTCGTAACTCTCTCCATTCATTGAGCTACCTTCGCTTTCCTTAAGGTGCTCTTCCTTACTGGATAATGATTGGCTACCTAAGGGGCCTTTACAGCTTGAGTCGGTCGGTCCGGCTACTCGTAAGGCGGGGCCATTAGTTGGAGGCCATATCGATGGGAGAAAGGCAACTCCTTTCGTCAACTGTGAAGGCGAGGCGGTCAGGCTGGAGGGAGACAGGAGGGAGGCAGGGCTGTCTTAGCATGAGCTCCCAGTTTGGGATATTCGAGGTTGTCTACGAAGGAGGCAAGGCGGAAGGAAGCCAAAGGCGAAGACCAGAGATAAAAGACGCAGCCTCGGATATGCCATAAGGACAGAGACAGCTGAAACATCCTAATTGAATAGGAGAAAGATTAAGGAACTACTCCTTCATCACAATCACTGACTTAGGAAAGGAGTCATCGACGACGCTAGGAGTCAGAAAGCCAACCAAGCCCGGAAGACTGCTGAAAAACGTGAGTGCAAGGGACGAAGTAGCTCGACTGAAAGAAGAGGTTACTTTACTATGTATAGCTCGACCATCGGGAGAGGGGACAAAGTAAAGGGGACCCTTTGTCCCCATACCTTTTTGTTTTGGTCATGGAGGCTTTCTCTGGATTATTGGAGAGCAAGATTCACCAAGGAAAATTCAAGTTTCACTGGGGGTGCCAAAAAGGAATAATTTTTCATTTTTTCTTTGCTTATAGCTTTAGAAGCAGAGTTCAGTCAAGCGTTAGCAACGTCTTGCCCAAGTGAAAGAAAGACAGGGGACCTAAGAGGCGAGCAGCGAGTTAGCGAAGCTCTGCACAAGGAGAGGAAGCGAAAGCTGGTTTTTTATCCCTTGCTTGACCTGCTGACTTGAAACTATTTAAACACGACTTCTCCTGGAGCTCTGAAAAAGAGGGTTCTAATGAATCCGAAGAAAACAGCACATTATGGCAGTGATCTGATCCTACAGCTCGTATAGTATAGAAAGAGTGTCAATAGCAGAGGCTGGTAGCATAAAGGTCCAACTAATGAATGCTCTTATTTTTTCCTCTTCTCCATAGGGGAATCGATGAGAGATGCGAACAAAGGCTGCGTAGGCACGAGTATCAAAGCTTCAGTACCAGCGTAAACGCCCCTTATGGTTTCGATACTAGTACCAGCAGCTTCCCCACCACCACCTCGCCCAAGATCTATTCCGGTTCCAGTCGAAGAACCACCGGGCCGATTATTGACCCAGTGACCAGGGTAGAGCTAGTTGGAGATACATTACCTAGCCTTTTTTTTCCGCATCAGTGGTGGTCCCACCACCGGAAGCAGAGGAAGCTAACCGAGTTGACTAAGAATCAGTCGTTTACCTCGACTTTGAACCCATAAATATGCCTCTCTATGAGGTAGAGCCAGGAGCAGTAAGTTCACCCTCAACAAAGCTATACTCCCTTTCCGCCAGTTCGAGTTACCATTGTTGATCCAAAAGCTGCTGAGCTAGCAGCAGTACAGTTGGTGTATAAGTAACCTCTTGGATATCCGATCGAGACATAACATAATTGCAGTGGTCTGAACAGCAACTCCTTTCTATACTCTTCAATCTCTCTTCTCTTTTTCTTCCATTTGATTTTGACTCTTCTTTGGCCATGAAGATGACCTTGCAACAGTTCAACAGCACACCATCTGTCACAAAGAAAATGAAGGTTTCACCAACATGTATATTATTTATGCACCAGACAACTCGTATAGCGTCAGCAGCTACTCCAGCATTTCTCTTTCAGATCCTTGTTCTTCAGGGCTTTCTAGTAAGGGGGGGCCTTTTGTCATTTTGTAGGGTAACTTTACAGAACCTTTGCTTGCTTTCCTACTGGCAGGCTTTCGATTGCTAATACGAAGAGCAGGAGGCTCTGCAAGACCCACTCGTCTTCCAGCTCCTGATCCTACTACCGGCGTTGGCTGACTTACATAGTTGTTCTTTGCTTTGTCTTAGTCCATTCCGTTTTTCAGCGAGTTTGTTGACGGTCAACATGGAACATACAGCGTAACAGCTTTTGTGTTGTCTTAGTTATTCCCCCTAACCCCCTAAGGGGGTCCAGACTGTTCGGAGTAGTGATTGAGTTGTTCCAGGTTGTCTGCTGCGAAAGTCTGGATTGCCTTAGGACATACTTTCCAGACAAGAGTCGCAGAGCCTCAAAAGTGGACTCCAAGCGGCAGCGTCAGAGAAGGATGCAGGCAGGGACACACAGCAGCAAATAACTCAACGCAGCTCACGGCAGCCTGAATCTTACAGGTTAAACCAGAGAACAAAGAAGAGTAGCAGGTTCACGATACAATTACTGGTCAGAAGCAGTGATAATTCCTCCTTTCTCAGTCCTGGAAATAAACTGAGAGAGCTGCTAGTAGTTCCACCTGCAGAGAATACTTGATCCAAACAGCAAGAAGAAGCCTAACGATGAAATCAGTAGCCCCTTTTGTATAGTAAGGTTCAAAGAGTCCTTGTATAGTAGTATAGTAAGGGCGCTCCTGCGCACCAGCTTCAGGAAGGGCTTCAAAGCTCCTCTAGCGTTCCAAAACAAGGCATTTCTTTAACAAAGGGAAGGATCGGAAGGTTTACCTTTGGGACTCGAAGGTCTGACCTTGGATCTCGTAGCCGGGCCTGGGGGCATCAAGGAGTCATCCTTTTTCTTTCTGGTTCTTCTCGGTTTAACTGGTTGAAAACCATCTTCTTCCTGTTCCTGAGATTGAAATAAATGCATGAGCTATGGTAACCACGCCGCTTCCATCTACTTCTATGCGAGTTTAGATGAGGAAAGCGTTTTTTTAACGGAAAATAGTAGATTGACTCCTGTCTCTTAGGCTTACATATTCAAAAAAAAAAGGAAACTGAAGTTGTATCCCGCCTTCTCTAAGAAAGCCTTAACCTTCGGTGAATAGTAATGGGTCTTCACCGGTTCGGTGGCAGTGGCATCTTTGTAAGGATCTTCCTTATGAATCTGGTCTTCTCTCCGGAGGGGCTACTCAGTCGACTGGTAGAACAAGGTCCCATGCCTCCCGGCCAACTAGGATTGGACAGTTTTCAGGTCTTGCACAACCGATACCTCCTTTGCTATAGATTTGGTGAGCCCATCAGGAGTGCGCATCGTCTGGACCTCTTTTCGGGGAAGAATTCCATTTCTAGAAGTTCCCTCTCGTATGTCACCTTACTCACTTAGGGCCTTTGGACGATTAGGCTTTTCTTTCTGAATCAGATTCACTTCCGCTGCCAACCACACTACCATATGATGTGATAGTGTGAACAAAGGCCAAGACAAGAACAGTAGTCTACGAGAGGTTGCCCAGTTACAAAGCAGACAGCTGCCGGCTTGGGTAGCACTGAGAAAGTGTTATACCCCCATGATGTAGTCTGGACACGGAACTTGCCAAGATAGGTCCAAAGAGATTGACATGATTATCATTAACAATGTTAACGGCCACCGATCCGTAGCGTTCATCATAGCAATAATAAACATCACTGAACCTTTTAACCGGGGCAAAGGTCCTTCTCTCTTGATTAAACCATCGGTCGGTAAACGACGGAGAATTTCCATCAACCAATCGTGGTACGGGCCCTCTGATTTCAAAAGAATGGCCTATGGCAAAGATCCTTCTCTTCCCCCCACCCTCTTCCACTATTCCAATCCTACTGAAATGAATAGTCAATTGTGGAAAGGAAGGCGGTAAATACCTTCCTACGCACCTTTCGAACCAATCAAGGTCACGATTGGCCCAGAAAGTCTTAATAGGATCATAGGCGTATCCCAAAGCATGCCTGCTTTCAGACGCTTCTTTCGAGGAATTGACTCCACTTAAAGTAAAGGTACTTTTAATCAAACTGAAAGGAAATAGCTCCTAAAGACTGAGTCCCTTCAACTTAATTAGCGTATGTAACTATAGAACGAGTACAGCAAAGAGGGAAGGTTTCGGGAAATAGAGGGACTCTTCCCGTATTGCAAGCAACCTTAAGAAAGCGTTTAGTCCCCCATGCTGGGGTGGTCCCCCATGACTCACTCAAGTGAAGAGAGAAAATGGGGTAGGTAGCTCTGAAGGTAGGATAACAAGAGGCGACTTATGGATTTGATTCACGGGACCCTAGCGAGTGAAGTGCGTAAGCCCTCGTGTAAGGGCGAGCACTAAATTCAAAAGGCGAATGAGCAGAGTGTGGAGCCTCTGTCTGTTCCAGTCCCGCCAGACAAGTGAGTGGTCAGATTAGAGCAAGGCGACCAGAGGCGATCGGCTGTGAGCTCGAGAATGCTACTGCATATTGGGTTGGGCGGTACCAAAGCAAGGAGGGATCAATTACAGTCCCATTACCAGTCAGAAAGGTATTGATGCATTTCCTATCTCTAGTCTTTCAGTGGTAATGGATAGACTCTTTAAGCCAGTCCCTTAAGACTAGTGTTGAGGTGATCGTAGGACTGTGTCAACCAAGGTTGCTTGCAAAAGTCAAATGACTATGATTTAGGAGTAGGAGTCAGACCTAACTTGCTCTCGCTTTCTACGGCAATCAAGCAATGAGTAAGGAAGAAGATATAGTCAAGGGGAACAAAAAAGAGAGAGATCAGCATTCTTTTTTGAGTTCTTCCCTCAACAAGTGCTAGCGCATAGCGCGATGCTAGGATTTGATTTTGCTTCCTGCAAAGGAAAGAGAACCTTAACCTTAACTGTCTCGTCTCCTATTAAGACCTAACCTAGCCACCGCCTTCTGTTATCTTCCCTTTTAGTATCCGGGTAAGAAAGAAGAAGCAGAAGAGAAAGCCCTTGGTCCGAGAAAGAAGGCTTCTTCAAATCAACTACCCGGGAATGAAGGTAGGGCAGAGGCATTCAAAGAAGCTGTTTTTTCAGACGCAAAAAACAGAAGATAGCACTGGAGAATCGGCCACCCTAGAAGATGGGTTTGCCAGAACGACCGATTAGCCAAGAGTGCACCCCCTTGTCTTTTCTTTTCGGCAGATCAGCTACGAAACCATCTTTGTTTCCGGATAGGTCTTTCTTAGGCGGATTTCTGGTGAATGAGCCGGGTGATTCCCTTGCCCTTGACAAAAGCACAAGTTGTAACGAGTCTTTCAACTCATGAGATGCTTTCTAATATACGCTATTTTGAGTTGAGTGAAGGGCGGTCTAGAGAGAGTGAGTGTGATTTTCACACTGAATCATTCAATTCGAAAGGGGTTTACAGAGTTCCAACAAAAGAAATAGCGAAATAGAAGTTCCATTCCGCTCGTTGTGGCCTTGACACAGCGTTAAAGGGAAAGACATGGGGTATCGGAATAAAGGACTAGAAGAAAGGCGTAATCCAATTCTCCAAAAATAGTAATTCTATGAAAAAAGCATCCCACACTCTTTCAGATGAATAAGATGCCAATGAAGCATCTGTAGAAGTCTAAGGATTGTTTTGAAATGTTTCCGATATACGAGTGGTTTTTTTACATAAGAAAATGAACATGATGATAAGTTCGTCCAACCTATTTACCCTATTTACTTGGAAGTAGAACGAGATGATCCATTGAGGGGAGGGCGGTGGGAAGGAGGGAACAGTAGAGGCGCTACTTTGACAACGCTGTTTTCTTGCAATGCTGCAAAGGCTTTTTCGGGAATCTGCCTTTCTATTTTGAGCTTTCTTGATTCCCACGGCTTTGAATGAACACATCTGGGGACTCGAGATCGAGGAGCGGATTCAACAATTGCAACTTCTAACTTCAAACTCTACTGTGGCCCGCCCGTGACGCTTTTTTTCTGCTTCTTTCTTGGCTGAGTTAGCAGAGAAGGGGAAAGCAGGCAGCAGTGGGAATCAAGAAAAACCCCCTCTGGCAAAGCCTAATTATTTAGGGCGTAGCAGGAAGATTCGCCGGAACCCGAGAGCTAGCAAGAGAATAGAAAGAATTCCATGTTGGCACGCTCCCTCCTATTGTAGGCTTATTTTCCACTGGACAGTGTTACGGAAACTTCCAACGAAAATGGCTGCTTTATTCATTTTGTGTTTGCAATGAATTGAGTGGTTCCTTCGAGGAAGCGCTGTAAAATGTAAAACAGTTGGCACGCGACTGACGTACGCTTTGCTTTCTTCTTGTCCAACCGATTGAAAGTTTATTCCAACTCGAATTGATTAAGTAATGGGGAAAGGGGGCATGCATTGACTAAGAACTTATCAACATCGGAAAGCGACCTCTTTTATATACTATGAAAGCCGGCAACAAAGCAAGGATAGTTGTAGACTACTTGCCCTATCTCTTCTCTTAAAGCTTCACTAGCGAAAACTCTTTCATTTCTACGACCAACCGAGAGTCCCTGTGCTATGGCTCATACCTGGTTTTTTATTCCTGATCTGCTTTAGCAAGGCTTTAATCAAGAAGATAGGATGGAGACAGTGTTGCCTGATAGCGATCTACTGTACTAGACAGACCTGTCACACCGGTAGCCAAGATCGCTCGGACGGGTCCTCGCTTGCCGGGAGTGAAATCAATCAAGAAGTCAGATGCAAAACAAAGGACAGTCAAGTTTGGCTTTGAGATGTGGAAAGCTAGCTAGGAACAAGATAGGAGAGATAAAGGAAGGATGGTGTGCAACGAAGGCTTACCTTTTTCCTGCGTCTATGAAAGCAGCTATCCTCTCATCTCTTGCCTCGTCTTCGTAAACTAAAAAGCAGCAATATGAACATTTCCCGATTGCTTGGGGGGAACTCAAAAGAGAACTCTCAGCGCAGCGACATCAAAAGAAACTCAAACTTCCACTTCAACTTCCCTTGCAATTTGATCATGGGGAACTGGTACAGGGGATTCTCTTAGCAATGTAACCGAACTCCCACTCAATGTTCACACTGAAATTGGCTCCACAGGAGAAGGAGAAGTAAGATGGAATGTAACAGACCTCTCAATGGCTGGAACTTCTACTGCATTTGGAGGGGCTGGATACACAGCAAAAAGAACTCCAATTGCCACAGGAACTCAAAGAGACCAGAAAGAAACCGCAGCAAAGTAAACTTCCATCGGATCGAATAGAGATTTGATAGGCTGGCGTAATAAAGTAAGAGATATGTTCAAATGAAATCTATTTTCTGATTGCGTACCCGCTTGCTTCCCTAAGTCAATCTTGTTACTGGTTTTGTTGAAAGGCTTGAAAGTGGAGTGATTTCATCCCAATGAATAAACCTAATTCAATTACCCTCCCACTGTAAACTATTCCTACCTAGAGATAGAACCCATGGGCGAAATCACTAAAGCTCCTTTTCCTTATTCCTTAGGGAGTGGGGGTCTCAGTTCGAAACTTTTCTATCTCAACTAGTAGCAAAACTAGACTAGTAATCTTTCCCATCTTTTAGGACTAGTTCCCTCAGGGACATCCGATCTTCAACCCGGTAAAATGAAAGTTGTGTAACGTAGTCTATCCTCTCTGCCTCTCTTGTTCTCTAGTTATCGTTCTTTTGAACTCGCTACATCTCTTTACTCTAGTTAGAAATTCACTCTAGCTCTACTCGTTCCGGTATTACACTCGTTTCCGGTGGTCCAGCACTTCATTCGTGAATAGAGCTTTTAGAAAGGAACGAAGTAGCTCGACTGTAAAGGAGAGGAAAGGAAAGGATGTCGCATATCAGCTTTCGATCTTCTCTTATTTTATTGCACGGGATTAAAAGAGAAGAAAGAGCCTATTCGTTCACATCCGATTTTGAATCTGATATTCCATCCCTCAACTCAAAGAAAGAAAGAGATGCGGGAAAGGAAAAGCAGAGGAAGATAAGAACGTATAGAAGTTACAATACATAGTGGAATACAGGACTGGACAGAAGTTTACAAGGCGAATAACTGAAAAAACAAACAAATAGTATGAAGAGAGATAAGGAAAGGTTGAAAGCAGGGGGAATAGGATGGCGTTCTCCGTGCGGATATATTAGATATAGATGAAGGGAAGGACACCCCAAAAACGAAATCTGCATGCAAGGCTTTCGATATTTGAGGAAAAGTGCCCATATTCGTATAGTCGGAGTGGGAGATTGGAAGCTCCTTCCTTAGATAGAAGCTTGATTTCAGTCAGCAGGCAGGGTGTCAGTGGAAAATCGCCTTTAGTGTGCTTCGATGATTTTTCGGATACTTTTGAAGAGACTTGAGAGAGATACGATTACCGAGTTGTACTCTTTAAACAAGGCGGGATACGCGATCTTAGCAGCTTCCTTTCCTTTGATCGAGGAACTGGTATAAACTCTCAGACCAGTCAAGATTGCTCAGATGGTCATACTTTATATGCCTGTAATAAAATAGAGTTAGTAGAAAATCATAAAGGTTATTAATACCATACTAAGAGTGGGAATCTTTGTCCTATCATAGAGGCCAAGCATACGAGTCGTTGTGTACGAATGTTGAATGTCCTGCCCAGACTTCAATTGAAAAAGTGTCGTCTGTGTTTTTATGGAATGTTCGGAAAAGAGGAGATCTGGAAGGGAAGGGAACAAAGTAAAGAGCTCAGGGGCCTTTGAAAGTAGTCCTACCGGTAGTCCAATCATATACCCTTCGCATCATCATATACAGACTTTTCTAGCCTACTTAAATGAAGTAAGGAAAGGATACCTCTCTCTCTCTGAAAGAAGAACTCAAGCTTTCCCTTCATCCTCCTCCTTGTGATCCTATCAGTTCAGTCATCGCCTACTCCTTCTAATCCTATCGGTCAGCGCCTAGTCTCTTTCGAAGTGCTCGAAGTCGGCTAAGGCTAAGGTTCAATGCTTTTTGGTTGCTGCTTTGTCCCTCGTCACCCTAAGAGAGGACGGAGTTTGCTTTCTTTCCTACGCGAGTCTTGTTGTAAGGTGGAATGCTTTCCCGCTTTCAAAAAATGGGCTTTGCCTTGAGGTCTTAGATTCCTTATAGTAAGCCCGGTTGGCATATTGTTGTATGAAAAGGAGTCGATTCCCTATTTCCCCTAGTCCCGAAATCCAACTCGATCTTGTGGTAGACTGCCCTCCTAGGGGGCACTTGGCAACTAACTCGTGGGGCATGATATCCCACAAATCCTCAAGTACTTGCTGCACTTCCTAAGAAAGAAGTCGTCTTGGTATTGGATCCGCTCTTCTGTTAGCATGAACATGAATTAGATTCTATTCGTCTTCTTTATTCTTAAGAGAACCCCCCCCCTCTCTTTATCATATCTGTCCATCAGCAGGCGGTACAGTAAATACACAGCATAAATACGCCTCGTATACCAAATCCATCTCTCTAACAAATCTCTAGGAGGAGGGGCCTCCTTACAACCCTGAAGAGCCTTTCCCAGAAATTGAAAGAGCCAGGGAATTCATTTCATTCTATATATGAATTTAGGAGTCAAAAATAGATAGCAGAGAATGGTCCATAGAGATGGCATTTTCACTTTATTCCCCTACCTGAACCATTTTTAAGACCCCCAAGCCCTCTCGAATGAGTTCTACTATAGAAGCTTTCAACGTAGACCCGGGGACAAATCTTTCACTCACTGAGAAGTGAAAACCTGTGACTAGATCGTCCTGAAGACGGATGCGACGGGAAGAAGTGGCATTTGGAAGTGTTGCTGACTTAACATTTAGGTTTCGGCATAACAAAGCTTGCACTGTCTTTTCGCACTTAGGCGCACAGCGTGCCATTGGTAATGATTCTACTACGGTGCCACAAATTTGCAAGCTGATCCTAAGTAATCGTTGTTGTTCATTGGATTCCGGAGGAACTACTTCGTTAGGATTGGGGAATTGCTGCGATTCTTCCTGAATAGCCTGGATTCTCCCGTCGAGAGTCACTTTGAAAGTATTACCTAAACTCTTCCGACTGAATATGATAAAGCCTATAAAACAACGAGCTACTATCATTTCTTCATTATAGATTGAGATCTTCTTCGAACTTGATGCACAAATAGATAGAATAGCAGCAAATAGCATCTTTCTAGCCTGCATATTCGTGGAACTCAATCTCATTTAGAAAGCCTTATCTCTATCTTTCAGCAACTGAACGGGAAGTGGTTTAGGAAAGGACTTTAGTTAGAATCGGATGCGCTCGCCCAGCGAGAAAGGCCCTGATCCTGCCAACCAAGTCAAAATCAAAAAGAAAGAAGAGAACGAAAGGAGAAAAGAACTTCGTATTTTGGTAACTCTCTAGGAGTCATGTTTAACCTTGAATGCTATTAATAGATTCTACAGCAATAGTCCCTCGGACTCGGAAAGTAATAACGAAAATGGCTAACCCAATAGCAGATTCCGCAGCTGCCACGGTTGGAACCAATGAAGCAAATGATTGACCCATCATATCATCCGAAGAAACGGAAAATACCAAAAAGTTCGAATTCACAGCTAATAACATTGATTCAATTGGCATTGACATAATAGGAATATTTCGTCTATTAAGGAGGATTCCCCAAATACCTGAAATAGAGATGATCATAGAAAATGTGAAATATTTGATAGGATCCGTTTCGGGAACGTAGAATGTCAGAGAAATTCAAATGTTATAACTCCAGTACGTAAGGAAGGCTTATTCTAGCCCAAGAATTTTTTTCATATATAGAGAGTAGGGGCCTCGCCTTTTTAAAGGCTACATTCGATTCTGACAACGGGTAAAGCTACTGCCCAGCCCTACCTTTATGCAGGAATCGACCAAAGAGACAAAATGAAAAAAAAATGTGGAATGGAAAAGGTAGCCTACGTGAATTGATTGGCCGAAGGATGCTGTCATTCCTCCGCGTCCGGTACGTGGAGATTTCCCAAGTCCCGAAGCTCTTTCACGATCTCTGGCCACAGACGACAATTCCTTGTCCCCAGGTAACGGTGGAGGTTACGGAAATGGGAGAGACGATTATCGATGTCTATCTCCCACGCTTCCGTCATGGCTATGTTAATCGCGCGACTTACGTCTTGTGGATCCTCTAGGGCGATCCCCTTCCGCGCCAATAGAGTGCGTGTTTTTAGGACAATCCGCTCCTGCACTTGGTCGCAGGCGGTATTTATACCTTCGACTGCCCGATACAGTCGGGCGTCTTCCTCGGCCGCCGCCTCCTGCTCCCCTGCGTCGAGACTGGCCCGTAAGCCGGCTTCCGCGCCTCCCACCGGCATCCCCATTGGATTTTGAGGTCCGGCGCCCTCCGCTCGAAGAAATTGCCTCGATCTTGTTAAATTGCCCACAGTGTGGCCTGAAGCCTCGTCGTTTCCCCCGGGCTCATTGAGGTGGGGTGAAGCCAAAGGAAAGAAAGGATCCCCAGAAGGTCCGGGAGGTGTACCAGGCCCCCCAGACATTCCGCCGGACGTGGAGGGATAGAATTGAGAAACTGCCCGGGATAGGTCGTCTTCTTCCATCAAGACATATCCCAGTGAAACGGCTACCCTCGCCAGAATAAGAGAAAGGAACACTTTCCCAATACAAAAAATAAGGATTTTTGCGCGTGTTGGCATTTTCCGAAAAAGTGGTAGACAACTTACGAACCGGAAAAGATTCTCAGTGTTGCGAAAGACTGGGATGGGAAACAAAACGGAATGTACCGGATTTTTAGCACGTACAACCATCAAACCAGAGACCAAAGCAGGGCTCGACAAAACAGAAAGTATCATAGTACGTCGTCCTTCCCTGAAATGGAACTTTCATGCTGGAGCAAGAACTAGCATGAAAGTCGATCTATTACGACCAGCGCGGTTGTTCGTATTTCATTTTCTTCTTTCAAGCCTTAGAAAACACTCACTGAGTTACTTACGGAATCTCAGTCTTTTTGCATTTCACTTGGAATGCAAAGCATTCTTTTCGATCTTGTACCCGGTACACTGAACACCAACCCAATCTCGATGAAAAAAGAAAATAAAAATCTTCTTTCTTGGAACTCACTTTTTCATACTTGTTCGGAACGGCTCTACTAGAAATCGGTGACCGGCCTTAGTAAAGTCAAGGCACTGTTGGGCGAGATTTTTCGATCCGATCTTTACATAAGAAAGAAGCAAGACAAAAAAGAACTACTTTTACTACGAAATTACGCAATGACACAATCAACTAAACTAAATTGAATCAACTATAAATCAGGGGACACAGGATTCGAACCGGTAATGAGAGCCAGCAAGCAGTAGGGCCTCGTTGAACTGTAGAACCAGCAGTCCTTGTTGTTAAAGGCTTTCTCGGTCCAAGCCTTAGTATCCTTGCTTCAGCCCATGAAAACGTCGGTACAAATCCATTACATTATATAATTAGCCGGCAAAAACTGTTTTCTCATCTTTGTTTTCATATGGTCCCATGTGCAGATTTTTGGCTTACCTTGACGATCACGTTGCTCCTCAACTCTCTTCCACCATTGGAAAGCAGCCCCTCGTAATTTAAGCTTCACAAACTGCACCTTCGTTCATCTGACATTTGTTTCCACTCAAAAAAGTATTCGACATTGGCCTCCCAATCAAAATAATCTTCAGCATGCATATCGCCATAAAATTCAGCAACCTCTACCTTCACACCAACCATACTTAAATCAAGAGCTCTCACTAATCTCTCCTCCAATCCAGCCGATTCCGAATCCACCAATTCCGGGATCTTTTGCAGCGAAGGCCTGTCATCGAATTCTTAAAACCTGGGGTATGCCGATCTTAAATTAAACTAAACATGATTGATCCTACTATCAATCAATCCGTCATACAAAGGCGTAACTCCGGCTCTCTCTACGGGTAGAAGGAGGGACAACAGCCTTGTCAAGGCGCGGGCCAAGCCAACTCAAAGTGAAGCGATTTATACCGAGCAAGAACCTGCACTAGAATAGGAAAAGCGAGACATTCCTTCTTTTTCATAATTCCAGTCCTGCGGGTCTGCCCGAACTGTAAGTGATTCAAACAAAGAGGCGGGTCCGAGCCTTCCTCGGTTGAAGTACCAAAACTCCTCCTCCTTTATCCCGGGGGGATGAGGATGAGACAGAGTTTACTCCCGCGGCCTCTCGGTAGAAGAGGGAGAAAGCCCAGTCCTCTATCTCAGTCTCAACAGAAGGTAAGAGGAAGGGCCATTCCCTCTTTCTTTCGGGAAGGGCTTAAAAGCGCTTTCATCATGTCAAGCTTCAGGCAACCACTTTCTTGGATGATATGCGGTCCATAGAATGGATCGTTCTCATGGGCGATGATAACACCTTCGCCGATGTGCCTGCTTTTCACTATAGCTTCCTGATTAGGCCAGCTCTGGGAGGATCGGCTTAAGCCTATTGTTGCTAGGATTTTTGAGATAAGCTTGTAGACAGTGTTATACAGGCTTTGAGGAGCGGCCTGAAATCTTTCAACCGATTGGCTTCAAAGGACTTTGGAAGAAAAGCAATGAGCATAGTGTTGAACTCTTTTCAGTAAGCACCCCTTCCGAAATAAATCCTTGATTGCCATCGATATTTCTTCTCCCCGGGGAGTTTTTTATCTTATCCCGGACCTTAAATCTTAAACTGAAAAGAGCGTTCAGAGTCCTCCAGAAAGATTGACTTAACCTTCCCGTCGATGGTGAGCTCTTGCTTGGAGAAGATCAGCCTCTTATCCTTATCCCTGAGTCACTTTTCTCCGTGTTGAAGCCTATACCTATAATGCATTGCCTCATCTGGAATCTTATCTTTAGCGAATTGAATCCTCTACTTAATACCTAATCTTGAATCCTACACCGACCGGTCGAGCTAGGAGCGAAGCCTGTCGTGTCTTGCACAAATGATTATCTTTCGAAAAGCTAGGCTCCCTTAGTCAGTAATAAAATCATTAAATTCGAATCTCCTCTAACTAAACCTAACCTATAGAGGAGCTAAAGAGACTTGCTTTTTTTAAATGCCCAAAAGCCCTATATAGTAAGGGGGAAGCAACTACCTCAACCGAACCGGAATTGCAAAAGAAGCATACCGAGCCAAGAGATTCAAGAACAACGGAAGGTCAGGAGGCAAGGGTCCTTTGGAGGTGAGAGCCCACTCGCCCTACTATCGAGTTGGTAATCCGAGGAGGTGAGCCCTAATCGATAAAGATAGGAGAGGAAGAAGAGTAGCTTGAGGAAGCAACCAAGAATAACTAAGATATATTAAGAACAGACAGATATAGTGGATAGTTGAATTAGAAGGTAGCGGGACAGGAAGGAAGAAAGTAGGTCTATCGAGCGGTTCAAGGGACTTATAGTTTCTTTTTGGAAGGACAAACAAGAAAAGAATGTCTTAGCTGTTCTGCTGCTAGGCGAAGAGCTGAGGGTTGGATTTGACTCAAGTTAATGAAGAAAGGATAGGATAGAGACTGGGTGAGGTAGACCAGGACTTCGCCTTAATATTCATAGGGGGGAATATTAGCTCGCTAAGCCTCCCAAGGGAGGCTTCCCGGATGCCCTAAAAAGCGTAGGTCGGAGTCGCAGGAGTATGCGACAAGCAGTTGCATGTTCGGTGTGGGAGATCTTCTGTAACGAGATGAATTAGAACACTTGGAATCCTCGCGGATATAGCGTGTGTGCCACGAGTGCTCTGTCTTCGAAAAGGCAGAATGCTGTTATCGAATCCGCTGTTTCGGAATAGAATACGCTGTGTGTCCTAACCAGATGCCGTGGGGCGATAAGGGGTGCTTTATCTAAACTAGGCAGGATAACTTGGCTAACTTTCCTACTCTGATAGCATCTCTGAACGGCAGGTACCCTCAACCGCCGTAACGAAGGAATGAATCTATTAAGTGGGAAAGAGCCCTCGGCCTCATTCATATCTTACCCGGCAAAGGCCTCTCTCATCCTTATGCTGAATCGAGATTTTCTTGGTCTTCTTTGACCCTCGGGGAGGAAAGCTGCTCTTGCTCTTGTTCTCTTTGCTCTTTAGAAAATGGTTTCTGTGAACAAGGAAGAAGGGCTGCTTTACTCTAGATCGAATGCT